ATAGAAAAACAATCCAAATAGCAAATTTCTACTGATCCTTATGATACCAAACTTATAGGGCATCTTGGTAAGCACTACAGGACTAGTGCCAATTTCTGTTGCTATTCATTCCATTAGGCTATTCAAATTTTTTTTTTCTGTAGGGCTGACCTGAATTTTCATTTCGGCATGAAATAACAATAATGTTTTCCTATCTCAATTTTCCTTGCCGCTGAGGGAAGTTATACGCCGCTGGGGTAAAAATAGCTCTCTTATTCTTGCGAATTCACATCATAAATAAATTTCAAAACCATTAGCAAATGATCAACATTTTAAAATGTCACATAACAAGTAACACATATACTGACAAACAGTTTTTATTATTTTCATATTTTACATATTTTTTTCTGGTTGAGGATGCAGGGCTCCAGATCATTTTTCAACATCAGGAGTATGTACTGCTTATTTTTTCAATATAGGAGTACTTGAAAATCTTAAGAGTACATTTAGAGTACTGAATGGAATTTAATGGCGTATCAGTAATCTTGTGTTTCGTTTCATATATGCACCACAACATTGCTACTCTTGTGTAAACAGGTAAAAAAACACTAAAATAATACTTTTTTCAGATAAATACGTCTGTAAATGATTCTAAGACCGTACCCCATTGCTGTGGTGCGTATCTGCTACATTTCATAAATTGTTTCCTACCGTATCGTGCATATCATTTATCCGTACATACGCAGATACGGCCCTTATCTGGAGCCCTGGGATGGAGCCGAGAAACACATAAACAAATATGGATAGCCTAACATACATAAATATTTTTTGCACCCCTTGGTTCTGTGTATCCCCTTTCAATTTGTGTGTGTTTAGATGCAGGATTTCATGTACTGTAAATCTCCAGTGAATACATCCAAATTTATATCAAACAATGTGTCATTATTAAGTTCTTTCCTGAATTCACCATTTACATTACTTTTTAATAACAGGAAATTTTAAATGAAGAAACAAAACAGAACATTACAACTGATGATTTATCAATTTTTGAGAGTGAGTATATTTTCTTTATACGTGGTTGCCACATAGTTTTTGTATGTGGATAGCAAATTCTTATATGGAAGACAGCTCTGCACAGCATGATAACTGGGAACAAACCCATTGTTAATAATAAATGAACAAACAATATCTCAACCAAGTCCTGACACTACCAGATCTTGTGTGTTCAAATCTGCAGATATTCTGCCAGTATTAAGAGAAAGGACCTCTCTCTCCAACTCTCAGCTGTTTTTTAACAATATGTAATCATGACCTCCATTACGCCATGGGAAGAGTTGCCTCCCATAGTCACCAGGCTCTCAGCAACTACTGAGTGAGTGAGTGAGTGAGAGAATGGGTACTGATAAGAATGCAAAAAATAAAGTGTTTTGAGGGTGTTATCCAAATTAGGAACAATAGATTGTTATTATGACACAAAACATTCAAGCATAAGTATTTTAAATTGTCATCTAGCACAAAAACACTCAAGTATAAGTATTTTAAAGATTCTTATGCAACACAAGACCACTCAAGCCAAAAGTTTTTTTTAAGATTGTCTGCTGACACAATAAAAAGAAAACACAAAAGCATAAATCTTTTTAAGATTATTATCCTACATAGGAACACTCAAAGATAAGAATTGTCAACATTGTTATCCACCACAAGAACACCCAAGCATAAGTCTTTAAGAATTTTATCCCACATAAAAAAATACAAATTTTAAAGATTGCTATCCCCCCCTTTTTTCTTTACAGTCCAGACATAATCTGGAAGTCAAGAGGGCATTCTATTTCTGGTATGCACAGAAACATTGCTTCCTAATCCAGATTTCTCAGTTGAAAGATGAGCACATCTTGCATGCACCAGTGCGTTAGCCATAAAGCAGATCAATTACCAAAGTGTATGCCCAATTAACACTGTAATTGACACCTGATAGATGCTCCCAAGACTGATCCTAGCTTAGCAGTAACACGTGTACGCCTTTGATGCTAAAGTAATCCCATGTCACGCAGTGCAAGTACGTTCGTCTACATGAACATGTACCAGCTGTCTTTCATGTTTTCTTTTTGACTGACAGGTCGGAATCATTCTCATAGTCATCTGTCCGGATAATTCTGTGTAACATGGCTTTGAACAGTTATATCACAAAATGTCAGTTTACTGTGGGAGTGAATGAGCGAGTTTGGTATTACACCGCTTTTAGCAATATTCCAGCAATATCATGGCGGGAACATCAGAAATGGGCTTCATACATTGTACCCATGTGGGGAATCGAACACGGGTCTTCAGCGTGACGAGCAAACGCTTTAACCTTTAGGCTACCCCAAAGCCCCTTTCTGTGGGAGGACAGCCCACTGGAATGCAGGTTGTAGACACTTCATGAGTGAGTGAGTGAGTTTTATTTTATGCCGCTTTTATCGACATTCTAGCAATATCAAGCAATATCACCCAGTGTGTGGGGAACAGAACCTGAGTCTTCCATGTGACCAGCAAACGCTTTAACCACAAGGCTAACCCACTGCCAAGACACTTACTAAGAACATGGTAAGAAACTGACAGACTAGGAATTGTAATATTGACTAATCATTAATTCAAATCCAAAACAAGCAGACTCTGACAATTCTAAGGGAGACAACTCTGTACAGCACCATAGACAACTATGATCAGCAACAGACAACCTGACCCATAAATACAATTAGTAAAGTACAACACAAATATATAAAATAAGGACTATATGATTCTTTCATACTATTAAAGGCTGTTAGTAATTCTCATGATTCTCATAATGTTCCTGTACTTGTTTTGAGTAGTATATATCATTCTCAATAAGCCAACGTCTTTCAAACCTGAATCTTAACTTTCCTATTCTCACTATTCAAGTATGTGCCTTGGCCAACAAACATGTTCAAGACATGGGAAATATGTGAGCAAGGGGAGAGAACTCAGTATGTAGACCTTCACTAATCCAAGCTCACCCTTCTGACACTACTTTAGCATTTTACGTCATCACTGCTTCATTCAATTTCTACTCCCAACTTTAAAAACAGGCATATAGCTCTGACAGGTAAAATATTCATTTCTGCTCTTAGTTTGATAGTTAGTAATCAGTCCTCAGATCATAATAACCACCTCGGACTGAAACCTGAGATTTCACAGCCTTATCATCAAAGAATCTGATATTTTCAGCAAAGTACACAGTCCTTGTTGGTATGCATTCCAAACAATGACATGTAAAATCATTGGTAACAAAATGCTGATTTAAACTTACTTAAGAACTTGGCTAAGAGAGCGCATTTCAAGTTTTCATGAAAATAAGAGTGCTTGGACTCGGGCACTTTCTATTATCCAACAGAATCCAACTGTACTTCATCTTGTGTAACAATGAGTGGTGTACCACTGATAAAAGTGACACGTGGTGTTGTATTGACTGAACCTTACAAGGCTTGATACAATTTGTTTAGGGTCACCCTTTTGCTTTCTCTAGTGAAGTAGGTGTATAACACTAGCTGAATGTAACTAACTGCAGAACTATTGTGGACATGTGCAGTAGCCTATTCCTGTGACAACATTTGTTGAATAAAGTCATGTTGGACGGTCTCATAGGGTCTGTGATTTTGTGCCATAAACACGAAGTTGTAATACTTTCAGCGCCTGTAATATATACAAGAAGTGAGTTTGGTTTAACACCACTTCAGACATCATTCAAATCATACTGGATCAAAGTGGAAGGAAAGCCAAAAGTGAATCTGGTTTTAGATGCTTAATACTTTGGTTAATCACACAAAAACAAAGCTAACAAACCTGGAAACATTATCAGGCCAAACCAATATTCAAACCCACAACCACATGTTTCTGATGTTTTCAAGGGATGCAACTCTACACAGCAAATTGCAGCACCTTAGACAAATGGGGCCTCCTATACGAATACATATGGAGCAAACAAACCTGGAAACAATATCAGGGCAAACCAATATTCAACCCACAACCACATGTTTCTGATGTTCTCAAGGGACAGAACTCTACACAGCAAATTGCAGTCCTTTAGACACCTGGGCCACCCTCAATATACTACAGTGAAGTACACTTAAGTAGAAAACAACATACAACAGATCTACAAAACCCTCAAACACAGTAGTCTCAACTAATGCCACTCCGCTCAATATCTTCACTAATACCAGCAAGTAGTGTGCGTTTGTCGCAGTAAATGTCAATAGACACACTGTGTTTTGAATGTAGAGCTTAGTTACCTATAGATTTAACCACACCAGACTGATTTTTGATATAACTGGGGGTTCCAAATGTTCAGATGAGTTGTCTATCTATTTCTAATTTATCAGTATTATAACTGATCCACTATTGTTTCTTTGAGGGGTGGTGGGGTAGCCTAGTGGTTAAGCATTCGCTCGTCGAGAACCTGGGTTCGATTCCCCACATGGGTACAATGTGTGAAACCCATTTCTGGTGTCCCCCGCCGTGATATTGCTGGAATATTGCTAAAAGCGGCGTAAAATTAAACTCACTCACTCTTTGATCTGTATTGTAAAATCATTCACATTCAGCAATATCTCAGCGATATGATGGTTGTCTCAAAATAATAGCAATATTTTAGCTATGTGATGGTGGTCTGGACCAGACAATCCACTGGCTGACGTCATGAGCATCGACCTACTGGGATAGGGTGACATGCATCAAGCAAGTCAGCATGTTTAAACACCAGACGTCGCAAATACATATTTGAAAGCTGACTGCGAGTGGGACTAGATTTACAATATGAATTAAGAACTGTTCATTAAACATTCAATCAAAACCCTCTTGAAATATGGTTGCATGTTAACCTCAGACTATCTGGTATAAATGTGTGAGTGAATATGGTTTTGCATCAGTTTTAGTTATACTTCAGCAATGCTTTAGCTGGGAACAACAAATATGGTGGCAAAAAAAATATAGATGAGGAGTGTTTCCCAAACACCTGAGTGTCTCACCTCTACAGATGGCTTGCTCTCAAACAGCTTATACAGGCTCTGCACCAACTCCTCATTCTGTCTAATGGTCGATGCAAAACTACGGACTTCCTCTCTCGACAGACCCTGAAATATTGTCAATACAGCTTGTCAATTTGAGATGATACAGAAAAATCTTCCAGAAGTATTATACAGTACTGTCATACAGAAGCATTAGTACTTAATAAAGAAGCATTAGTAGTCATTCAGAAGTAGTATTACTGTCATACAGAAGCATTATTACTGTCATACAGAAGCATTATTACTGTAATAAAGAAGCATTAGTAGTCATTCAGAAGTAGTATTACTGTCATACAGAAGTATTATTACTGTCATACAGAAGCATTATTACTGTAATAAAGAAGCATTAGTACTCATATAGAAGTATTATTACTGTCATACAGAATTATTATTATTGTCATACAGAAGCATTATACAGTAGTGTCACACAGAAGCATTATAACTGTCATACAGAAGTATTATACAGTGGTGTCATACAGAAGTATTATACAGTAGTGTCACACAGAAGCATTATAACTGTCATACAGAAGTATTATACAGTACTGTCATTCAGAAGCATTATTAGTCATACAGAAGCATTATTACTGTCATACAGAAGCATGATTACTGTCATACAAAAGCATTATTACTGTCATACAGAAGCATTGATACTGTCATACAGAAGAATTATACAGTTGTCACAGAAGTATTATTACTGTCATACAGAAGCATTATTACTGTCATACAGAACTCAGTATCATACAGTACTGTCATACAGAAGTATTATACAGTGGTGTCATACAGAAGTATTAGTCATACAGAAGTATTATACAGTTGTGTCATACAGAAGCATTATTACAGTAATACAGAAGTATTATTACCATTATACAGAAGTATTATACAGTGGTGTCATTCAAAAGCAATATTACTGTCATACAGAAGCATTATTACCATTATACAGAAGTATTATACAGTGGTGTCATACAGAAGTATTAGTCATACAGAAGTATTATACAGTTGTGTCATACAGAAGCATTATTACAGTAATACAGAAGTATTATTACAGTCATACAGAAGCATTATTACTGTCATACAGAAGTATTATACAGTACTGTCATTCAAAAGCAGTCTTACTGTCATACAGAAGAATTATTACCATCATACGGAAGTATTATACAGTGGTGTCACACAGAAGCATTATAACTGTCATACAGAAGCAGTATTACTATCATACAGAAGCATTATGTAGTACTGTCATACAGAAGCATTATAACTGTCATACAGAAGTATTATTACTGTCATACAGAAGAATTATTACTGTCATACAGAAGCATTATTACCAACATACAGAAGTATTATACAGTGGTGTCATACAGAAGTATTATTACTGTCATACAGAAGAATTATTACTGTCATACAAAAGCATTATTACTGTCACAGAAGTATTATACAGTGGTGTCACACAAAACCATTATAACTGTCATACAGAAGCATTATTACTGTTGTACAGAAGCATTATTACAGCAGTACTGTCATACAGAAGCATTATTACTGTCATACAGATGTAATAGTCATTAGAGCATTATTACCATCATACGGAAGTATTATACAGTGGTGTCACACAGAAGTATTATTACTGTCATACAGAAGCAGTATTACTGTTGTACAGAAGCATTATTACTGTTGTACAGAAGCATTATGCAGTACTGTCATACAGAAGCATTATAACTGTCATACAGAAGTATTATTATTGTCACACAGAAGCATAATTACTGTCATACAGAAGCATTAGTACTGTCATACAGAAGCATTAGTACTGTCATACTGATGCCAAATAAAAACAATGCTGTGGTTCCGATTTTTTTTTTACATATTTTTTTTAGAAGTAAAGTACAAACTAATAATACATTTATCAATGTGTAATGTGTTTACTCAATCAAGATTTCAGCCATCATAGTGACTTTCTCTATCAGAATGACCAATGTCTGTCGGTGCCAGGAAAAAACAATGGTATCTGAATGCTTACTTTATTAATTTTGCTTAAAAAGAATAGGGTCAGCACCAGAATTCAAGGATCGGTCAGGTGATCGGAACCACAACAACAAAAATTTAAGGCCTGAAGCATTGTACAGTACTGTCATACAAAACATTAACACTGTCATACTGAAGCATTGTACAGTACTGTCATACAGAAACAATAACACTGTCACACTGAAGCATTGTACAGTACCGTCATACAGAATTATTTATACTGTCACACTGAAGCATTGTACAGTAGTGTCATACAGAAACATTTATACTGTCACAATGAAGCATTGTACAGTGCTGTCATACAGACACATTAATACTGTCTTACAGTAGCATTGTACAGTAGTTCAACACAAACATAACACGCAAAAGCGATATTATGAATGCTTCATTCAATGTTTAGCTGAGAACACATTACATGAGCTGCAACATTTGATTTATGTTTTGAAACATCACATGGTGAGGAAGACACAACAGGTTGGTTAAAGAAAAGAAGCACTTGACATGAAGCATTTGTATTCTTGCAGCTACATAAGCCATGTATTCTGTAGCATGTTCACTGAAACCTTCTCATTGGAATATGACACACTGTGTAGCGAAAAGACAGTGATAAAATGTTCATGCCACTGGCTTTAAGTGTGCATATGTGTACCAAGAAAACCTGTGAAAAAGCATGTGTGGATGCTGTCAACATTAGCAACTAATTGAGCTAAATCCTGACTAAGATTACTTTAGTATTTGTCATTCTGTGTATAATACACATACTGAGCGTACAGAATCGTATATGTAAAAACAGTGTACCGGTACCTTGTATTCTGAGAGCCAGTCCTTGACCACTCTATCCAACATTCTATTAGTGAGCTGTAAACTTCATAACCTTCAACCTTCAGTTTTCTGAAATGGTAAATCTTCATACAATACACATAATGACACCTACTTTTCATGTTTGGTCGTGCACATATGGCTATTTTGTGTTTCTAAGAAGAAGAGCATAAGAAGGGCTATCACCTTAATGAATTAACAATGCCATTGCATCACCAGGTTGTGTTTGATAGTGTAATTTCAACCCCCATACTCCTTACAACAGTTACAATACATATTTCATCATAAACAATGAGACAATTAATTCAACATAAATACTGGCTATTGACAACATACATCATCGAGATCGATAATCGTTAACTAAATATTGATCGATTATTTATAAATTTCAGAAATGTAACTTTGAGCAAAAATGCCAAAAATATCTGAAAGAAATTAATATATTTCACAGCACAGGTGTGCGGTGACATATTTTTGCACAGAAATTAGAATAACAAAATAGCACCCTGAACATAATTTATAAGCAGACCATGAGTAAAGTAAAAAATTTGTAAATTGTGAGTGAGTGAGTGAGTTTAGTTTTACCCCGCTTTTAGCAATATTCCAGCAATATCACGGCTGGGACCACCAGAAATGGGCTTCACACATTGTGCCCATGTGGGGAATCGATTGTAAATTGTGTGAGAAACTTAAAACCTTTTGGCGTCACAAAAGTTAATGCATAATATTATTGATAATACAATTTTCATTTTGATAATCATTACAAAAAAATTCCTATCAACAATATTCTGACTATCGATAATTTTAGCCAGTCTTAATACATATTATTTCCAATATCATTTACCTGATAAGGGAACATGTCATAAACATAACATGAACACCAAAAAGTAAATTAACATTTGCACCATGCATTGCTCAAGATGCCACATGTTTTTCTTTGCAAATAAACACGACAATGAAACTGAAAGGAAAATATGTCATATTGATTGAAACCACCGGCTACACACGACTGAGAACATCTCTGTAAGTCCCTAACTTGTCCTCACCTACATTATGCATGCTTCGATATATTTTCATTCACTACAGTTGGAAAATACCGTGTCTTTTCACCATACTTAAAAATGATCATAAATTGAACATAATTCGAAGATTTTGGAACCACCACCTGTCAAAATCGTATTTGGAGAGATTGCATATCAACTAGCATTCCTCGACATTATCACAGGTATGCAACATTGAGGCAGTTTTTGTCGGATATGACAAGAAAAGCTTTCTTTTCTATCTGATTATGACATAAATTACCAGTACCAAATATTTGTGTTTACAGTTGTTTTCGTTTCGGATACACCTATCTGACCGCTATCGACTGTCCTTGTGCCGTAGAGCAGACGCATTATCTTATTTCCGGTTTCCTTGTACGGTTCCCTTTACTACTGGTTACAATTGATCCTTGCAGGTGTCGGTTTCTGATAAACATTATCACTTGAGAATTTATATATTTTCACGTATTTTACAACTATAAGAACAATCATTTTAATTGGAACAAAGGCATCCCGCTAGCAGCGTGATACCCTGGGCATGCTGCTTCAAAAACGCCAGCGCATCATTTCCAGGAGGCAGACTGTCACTCTTTCGGATGTGCCAAAACCCGGATAGCTCGGAAGCAGTGTTCGAAATAGCCACTGGCCCGCTAGCCCGTGACTAGTAAAAATCCAGTCGGGCCAGTAGATCTCTACAGTCACTGTCCCGACTGGCTAGTGAATTTCCATGGGGTCATTTTGTAAATTAACACTCTCTGCGACTTGTTCATTATAACACACTCTTAGATCATGCAAGATTATGGCCTGATAAAAATGTTAATCATATTAGCAGCTTAAAGATGAAACCCGTGTCTACGTTCAAATTTCGGTCCAGTGAATTATTTTGTGGACTGGTAACTTTCAGGCATAGCTAGCCCAACTGGCTAACAAAATATGGAAACCATTTCGCACACTGCTCGGAAGGCCCAGGGGCTTCAACTTCGTAACAGTTGTGTTTGACTGTAAAGTTAATTCAATACCTTTTGGCTTTGAGTGAGAAGGTAAAACATGATGCTCACACTTCAAGTAATATATGCAAATATGCTAATCCCCTCCCATTTTAAAAATCAGCCAATCAGGAAACAGTAATCCGTTGTTGGTGGTGGGAACATCAACGTTTCCCGGTTAACCAGTTGAATATACCATGGAATCAGTCATTTGTTGTGAAACTTTGTTTCGTCGAAATTTACTTTCAGTAAATCAGTGACAGAGAAATTCTACAGAAATAATTTAACTCTTATAGTGTGATTTACAGCTCTTTGGGTTGAAATTCCGGGTTTCAAACGTTCATAATTTATGGTTCTGTGTGTGTACGTGCGTGCGTGCGTGTGTGTGATTTCGATTTTAATGGTGGGGAGGGTGTCACCCACTTTGTTCTGAGGAGGTAGGGGGTCAGCAATTTTGTACACACATGCCCTAGGGGGGGGTGTCAGCAATTTTGTACATATAAATATTTAAAATTATGGGATCGGGGAGGGGGTCATTGATTTGTACATTACATGCAGGGGGTGGGGGTGGGCACTTACTTTGTACATAAATTTTATTTATTTATTTTTATTTATTTATTATTGGGGGGTGGGGGGTGGGGTGTGTGTGTGTGTTTGTGTAAATTCTCCATAAAAATCACGCCGAAGACCCGGAACCGCCTCCCTGGTGTAGTGGTAAGAGCGTCCACCCGAGGAGCGGAAGGTCGCGGGTTCGATCCCCGACCGCGTAATACCAAAAGACGTTAAAATATGGTACTTGTTGGTCCCTGCCTGGCGCTCGGCATTAATGGGTACAACAAGGACTGGTCGGCTCGGAGTCAGTATAATGTGTCTGAGTGGGGTATCCATGCTTCACTGGGGCATGGTATCTCAGTGGGTTAGCACTTTAAAACCAGCTAAACTCTGGGCTAGTACAAGCAGCCGCACATACACATACACACGCATGCACGTCGTCATATGAGCGCAATATTCTCAAGCACGACGTTAAACCCAATTTCACCTCACCTCACCGAAGACCCGGCTTCGATTCCCCACATGGGCACAATGTGTGAAGCCCATTTCTGGTGTCCCTCGCCGTGATATTGCTGGAATATTGCTAAAAGCGGCGTAAAACTAAACTCAGTCAGTCTCCATAAAAATCACAAATAAACGGTATAAAGTGGAACCAACATCATACCGAGTGACGTCTACTTTACAAACGTACAGATATATAATTAGTCGCAAGGGTTATAGTATGTACAAATCAATGTCGTACATGTAGATCAGACGAAGAATAGAATATATGATACCTGCCTCTTCTTTTCCGATTGACTGAAAGCTGAATCTGGCCTGAATCTATAGTCTGTCCAGTCTAAATTATGGAACTTCATGGTTTCAAAATTGTGAACGAGTGTCTTCTTTTTACGACCTTATGAAGATCGATTTTTGGTACAGAATTTCAACATGGCAGCCCACATGAGGCGATGTAAGAATCCTATGTCTTCAGATATGATCTTCATTTTTTAATGCATGTAACTGTGCATGATATTCTACTTGGACGTTTGTCCTATTTTCCTGAGGGTGTTAGAATGCCAACGTGCAAATCAGTCACTGACTCGATCTTATCATCTATTTGAGCTCACTGTCACTGTCTGTTTTCAATTTCAGGTCTCATAATATTCGTTCTCTCATTTTGTATTTGTTTTCTGTGGGTAGATTGTGGTACATTCCTGCCAGCAAATACTACTATATTTACCTCAATTGTTAGACATATTCTAATATGCATTCAAACGAGACTTATATATCACATATCAAGACACTGTCGGTGCCCACTGACAGTGACAGTTCACAGTCTGGAAGAATTAATCATACTGTCACCTGTTCATGAACGTTTTTATCTGGTATTTGTAAGAACGGCAAAGGAATCGGCAACAGTTCCTCCCGTTCCCCCATCTAAAATAATATTTCTAAATATACTAAAATTATTAACAAAACTTTACACAACAATTACTAGAGAACTCACAAAATGGCTAAAAGTCCAAAATTTAAGTTAGGGTTAGGTTTAGGGTTGGATTTAGAGTAAGGTTTAGGGTTGGGGGAACGGAAGGAACTCTTTCCAAGGAATCAAGCACAAGTGAAAAGTTCAAATGAATAGTCATGCTTATTACCATGATTACAGTGTTTGCTTTTGTTTTGCTTTATGACTGTCAGAAGGAAATAATTATGGTTGCACATGGATGACTACAGGGTTTTACATCGACTCACATGAGGGTCATAGGGACCCCTTATTAATAGTTTTAACATGTTTAAAATCATGTTTACTGAGATTCAATCACAGATTGCAACCATAATGTACATTTTCTACTTTGCCATGTGTGCAGGTCTGCTTGCCACATCACAGATCCATCTGACACAGGTTCGTTATCGCAGACCTAATATACAGAAACCTCGACCTTCTACAAGAGAGCGACGTCTGTTTGAGGCCATTACTCAACCAATTCTACTCCCTGAAGTACAAAAACTACAACCTGTGAAGGTTAAGCATATCAGCCCAGGAAAGAATGAACAGGTACGAAAGATAATATGATGTTTGTGTTGTATATTATTAACTCAGCAATATTTCAGCTATATGGTGGCAGTGTGTAATTTATCAAGTCTGGACCAGACAATCCAGTGATCAACAGCAGGAACACCAATCTACGCAGTGGGTCTATGATAACACATGTCGACCATGTCAGCGAGCCTGACCACTTGATCCCATTAGTCGCTTCTTACGACAAGCATTGATTACTCGATAGATCAGCTGTTTTTGTTTTTAAAGACAATAATTGTTTTAAGTGTTTGTTTATCCCAATGACCATTTAGACCCTACAGTAATGAAAAGTTAACAGAAAAACACTTTCTTTTTCCCCTTGAATGTAAACCATTGATACTTCCTTGTTTGCCAGATATAGTGTGCTTATTCCTGTAGTTTGTTTGTTGTGTAGCGTCGCACTCAGCAGTATTCCAGCTATATAGCGTCAGTCTGTAAATAATTCAGTCTGGACCAGATGATCCAATGATCGACATAATGAGCATCAATGTATGCAAATCGGCCATGTGCTTATGCATGGTTAAACTGGCAGACCTACAACAGAAGATGAACTAACACTGTTCACATGGTAACCATCTGACCATACAGAGAGAGAGAGACTGGCTTCATTATTCTCAATCCCAATGAGGATTCCAAATTAAAATGGTCCCAAGCAACCTATCGTGTCATCGATATCAATCACAGAACTCTCAAGTCCTGACACACATGATTGTTAACAGGCAGTTAACATATAGCTGAATGTGATCTTGAACAACAAACAAACATAATGTTATTGTAAGGGCAGACCAATTTAATTCTTGTTTTATGGATTTTTGTCCTCAGAAAACCTAAAGGCAGGAGGGGAAAAAATAAAAAAATAAAAATCACCAGTCAAAGTAATATTCCTTTTGCATACTAAAAATATTGTATTTTTTGCAAGTTATGAGGTGTATATGGATTTTATTTTTTGAGAGGGGAGTTTTTTTTTTAATTTTTTTATTATTCTTGAAAAAAATACGACCGGTGGATCCGTAAAACAAGAAGTAAAATTGGTCTGGCCTAATGATGTTTTATCTTTAGTTAGCACGACAAATGGACAATATTGATGACATCAACTAACACTGCATACATGTAATACCACATTACTTTTTCCTACTTTTAGCCAAGTGACTTCGAGCAGTTCCTCATACGTCAGTGTAAGAAAATGTTTGAAGACCACAAAATGGTTATAGTATGCCAGCCACTGCCGATGTCTGAAAATGAGAAAAGAGAGATCCGAAATAAATTTAGGGATGCTGGTATGGATCTTCTTCATCATGGAAACAAGTTAATAAGGTATGTTGAACCTCATGATTACAGACGCTGTGGGGTAGCCTTATGGATAAAGTGTTCACTTGACACACCAAAGACTCTGGTTTGATTTCCCAAATGCATACAATGTGTGAAGCCCATTTCTGGTGTCCCCTGCTATGATATTGCTGAAATATTGCTCAAATCGGCATAAAACTAAACTCACTCACTCAGGCATGGTTACACGAGTACAGGTAGCCAGGTCAGCAAAGGTGCCCTACAAACATCACCATCTACTACTATGATTATGGGGTTTGTCTTACGATATGAACAATAACAAATAGCTGTGAAAATTTCATTTGCTTTAGTGAGTGAGTGAGTTTAGTTTTACGCTGCACTCAACAATATTCCAGCCATATGGCGGCGGTCTGTAAATAATCGAGTCTGGACCAGACAATCCAGTGATCAACAGCCTGAGCATCAATCTACACAACTGAGATATAATGACATGTGTCAACAAAGTCAGCGAGCCTGACCACCCAATCCTCTTAGTCGCCTCTCACAACAAGCATGGGTTACTGAAGATCAATTCTAACCCACATCTTCACGGGTCTCATTTGCTTTAAATATATTCTAATTTGACATGGTACTTATCTTTGCATTTAGCCTCTCCATTGTATTTAACGTGGTCAATGATGAGTACAGGTCTATTTTATAGTGTTTTATGGGCATCCGGGTAGCCAAGTGGTTAAAGCATTAGCTTGTCTTGCCACAGGCCCGGGTTTAATTCCCCACATGGATACAATGTTTGAAGCCCATTTCTGGTGTCCCCGACCATATTATTGCTGGAATAGTGCTTACACTACTTAAAGTGGCATAAAAAAACCCCAACTCTTTCACTCATTTATAGTCCTTATAGACAAGAGAAAAAGAGACCCCTTAAACCCAGATTTATTTTAAATTTGTGAAACAGGAAAAATATTTCACATTAGTGTTAGGGTTGTCCATGAGGTTTTCTATGGTATGTGAGTCAATGGACCCCTAAATCTTAAATTTCATGCTTGACTTTCCTACTTAATTTTAAACTGTGGTTTGATTGTTTACACGGGTTGTTGTATACCTTACCTGACTTCATCCTCCCCCAGGCCGGCCGTGATGGACACAAGACTGACCAATCTACTCCCTTTCTTCACCGGGCATAATCTATTCATTGTCAGCACGGAACCCCGTGTTGCTGAAATGGTAAAAATTGTAAGACGGATTCCACAGCTCCATCTACTAGGTAAGCTGTTTCTGATGGTTAAATCATGTCGTGTCTCATTTAGTCTGGATTGCTATTAGCAGTGAATCTAAAATTCAAATCAACACTCGGCCTATCCTTCCACAGGAAAGGGATATAACTCTATACAGCAAATTTATTTGTCATTGTCATACAATGTTCAAGTTCTAGGAATTTGGTATTTGTTTTTAGTTACAAAAAGTCAAATTTTAACATTGCATTCTCGTGACCAAAAAGCTCAGAAAGATCAAACGATACTTCATGTTTGACAATATTTATGTGGATAAAAATACTTACAATGCAACTGGGGTTGGTTTTGGGGTTTTTATAAAAATGTCCCACAATTCCATGTTGTTTTTGTGATTCAGGTGGGCTTGTGGACAACTACATACTGAGTAAAGAGGCGCTAATAAGAAACTCCAAACTGCCGCCCCTCGATATCACCAGGGGTCAACTTGTCACACTGTTAAACATGGGGGCTGCCAAGACACATTCGTTGCTAGGCAGCCATCAACAAACACTTTCAAGGAATTTAGAACAGTACATCAAGGATCAGCAGGAGAAGAACAATAATTCATAGAATATCGGGATTAATTCTGTTTGTGATTCGTGCGATGAAAAAAAAGTCTACATGATGGCTGACTTCTCCAGGAAGTTCTTCTTCACAGAAGTTTGACCAAAAAAACAGAGTGCTTACTTAGTCATTTAAATGTAAAATAAATAAGAATTGCATTTGAAGTGCTAAACATGCCGAATGTTAATAAGAAATAGAGCTTTTGGCATGATAAAATGCATGGTGCAAGGATAGGTATTCAAACATACTATATATTATATAATTTCTCATTCTAAGGGCATACATCTGTTTCTTTCATATTGTCCTGTGATTTAAAGCAAAAACTACTTTTACATAGTAATGATCATGTTTACTACATCCACGTAAAAATGTAAGCAGTATTCAATCAAGAATGATACCTATTAGTGTCTTTCTGGGTATCTAGGTGAAGAGGGTTTCCAAAGCAACTCATTGTAGGGAAAAATTGTGAGAAGAATTTCATGTCTGTAAAGGAATGGCTGTAAAATGAACTGAATTGTTGGAGTGTTTGGTTGTAAATAAATATCACACAGAATTACCTTTAGTCTTTCTTTTATGTTTCACATGGCTTTTATCTCATGAAGACTCGCGTTACGTCTGTCATAGGAGGCGTGTATCGTGATCAGGTAGTCAGAATCTCTGACTTGGTTGATATCATAGTTTTTCAATAATGTTAATCAATGCTAGTGATGTCAATGTCTGGATGATGTGGCCCAGAACTGATTGTTTACAGGCCGCCATTATAGCTAGAATATTGATGACTGTGAAGTTAAACAACAAACAAACAAATCACATAGTTTACAACTTGTACAAGATGTCGATGAGATGCTGAGGTGAGCATTTTACAGTGGGTTGTGTTGTGAGGTTGAATACACGAGGAGAGTTGTAATGGTAGAGTGACCTCAAACAGTCTTGTTATTTAAGGGGGCGGTGGGGTAGCCTAGTAGTTAAAGTGTTCGCTTGTCACGCCGAAGGCCTAGGTTTCCCACATGGGAATAATGTGTGAAGCCCATTTCTGGTGTCCCCTGCCATGATGTTGCTGGAATATTGCTCAAAGTGGCGTAAAACCATACTCACTCACTCACTCTTGTTATTTAAGTGTTTGCTTGTTACATGCTGTTCTACCTTGCGATTGCCTGTGTAAGTGAGTGAGTTAGGTTTAGTTCTGCTTTGAACAATATTCATTTGAACAATATATCACAGTTTGATGTGAGATAAAGATCAAACTGATGCAGGTCTCGATCAGTTACCACCAACATGAGTATGGTGCCGACAAACTGAACATTGCAAATTAGAATTAAAACCCACAATCACTGGGTTCTTGCATGCCCAAGGGATGCAACTCTGCACACTTCAGATGACTGAACCATTTGAAAGAAGCAGAATATGATTCAGGTGATGATTCTCACAATAACCTGCACTGTAGGGAGTTTTGCACAAAGATTATCGACAGATTTACTTCAGTAACATGACAGAATTAATGATCCTTTACATATTTTGAGTGGTATAATATTCTGAAACTGCATGGAAATGGCGTCAGATGTGGAAATATCAGTGAAAAGCTCATGAATCTACCAGAAACGGATAACGCTTCCCAACTCATGAGAACTAAAGACTGGTCTTGTTTTACGTAAACAGCCTGGATGATCGTGACAGCCATTGTTTGATAAGAATGGTAGATCTGTGCGTGATAAAGGCATGTGGCGCTCCACATAGATGGAGTCGTGATTGTCTGATAAGACCGGGATCACACAATAGGAACAACATGTGGAAAGCATTGCTTGTTTTGGTAAGTCTGACATAACTCTTGATCTTGGTGTCACTTTCACATTTGTTTTATTGCTTGCTGGGCACTGACCCTGATACAATGTATTCCTGTGGGAATTCTAAAGGGAGAATATTCACAGTGACCAGTGGGGTAGCCTCATGGTAAAAGTGTTCACTCATCACACTGAAGGCTCAGGTTTGAATCCATATGTGGGTACAATGTGTCCATCCCTTTTCTGGTGTTCCCCACCGTAATCTTGCTGAAATATTGCAAATAGTGGTGTCAGATTACACCCACAGCACTGCCTGAATGAGTAAGGGATTACGTGATAGCAATCTCACTGATAGAGCTTTACACATGTAGGGCATGAAAGTGTGGTGACGTGTTGACCAATGAATTAATTGCAAGGTTATCCTAGCTTCGCATTACTGGTTCTTGCCCATCAACAAACCCGTGGAGAATTCTAGTTGAGGAGTGTATCCTGCTTTGTATTATTAAAAGAAGTAACCATGCTCAATAACGGCCAACAATTTTGTCATACTCCAGGCAGTGTTGCCACCACGTTGGTGCACGGAGCTCTCCCACCAGGGTGTGTCCATCTTGAAGACCATGTGCTGAACACGGCCAGTCCATCAGCCATCTTTGGCAGCAACAATGAGCTTAATGCAAAGTCAAAACCCATGAGAGTTGGCAACCTGCGCACCAAGGCTGCCATACCAACACACCACTTCGCAACCAATCAAATAAAACAACACAGGGTGCCTGTCAGACTGTTTCCTTATGAAGGTGAATGTCACTATACAGGGGAACATAAGGGGACTACATCAACTGGAAACAAGTCCATGAGGGAAAGCAGTTAATGAGGGCCAAGGAGGGCAGCTATTCCATGGGGTAACAAATCCATGGGAGCAACAAGTCCTTGAGGCGCCATGTCCTGCAGGCAACAAGTCAGTAGAGGTTAATAAGTCCTTGAGGGCAGCTAAATCCATCACTGCAACAAGTCCTTGAGGGTAACAAATGCATTAGGGCAACAAATCCATGGGCAACACGTCCTTGAGGGAACAAATCCAATAGGGCAACAAATCCTTGAATGTAACAAGTCCATTAGTGCAACAAATCCTTGATTGTAACAAGTCCATTAGTGCAACAAATCCTTGAACTGGTCCGTGAGGGTCCATCTATTAGGTAAACAAATCATTGATAGGGTAACAAGTCCATAGAGGTAACAAGTCCATAGAGGTAACAAGTCCATAGAGGGTAACAAGTCCATGAGGTAACAAGTCCATAGAGGTAACAAGTCTATGAGACTAACAAGTCCATAGAGATAACAAATCCATAGAGGTAACAAGTCCATGTTGGGTAACAAGGCCATAGAGGTAACAAGTCCATAGAGGTAACATGCCAATGAGGGGTAGCCCCTTTTTGGTTCATAAGGGTAACAAGTCCATAGAGGTTAACAAGTCCATAGAGATAACAAATCCATAGAGGTAACAAGTCCATAAGGGTAACAAGTCCATAGAGGTAACAAGTCCATAGAGGTAACAAGTCCATAGAGGGTAACAAGAGGTAACAAGTCCTTGAGGGGTAAAAGTCCATAGGTAACAAGTCCATAGAGTATAAGTCCATAGAGGTAACAAGTCCTTTTTGGGTAAAAGGCCATAGAGGTAACATGTCCATAGAGGTAACAAGTCCATAGAGGTAACAAGTCCATAGAGGTAACAAGTCCTTTTGGGTAACAAGTTCCATAGAGGTAACAAGTCCATAGAGGTAACAAGTCCATAGAGGTAACAAGTCCTTTTTGGGTAAAAACAAGCCATAGAGGTAACATGTCCATAGAGGTAACAAGTCCATAGAGGTAACAAGTCCATAGAGGTAACAAGTCCTTTTGGGTAACAAGTCCATAGAGGTAACATGTCCATAGAGGTAACATGTCTATGAGGGTAAACAAGTCCATTTTGGGTATAAGGGTAACAAGATAGGGTAACAAGTCCATAGAGATAACAAATCCATAGAGGTAACAAGTCCATAAGGGGTAACAAGTCCATGGGTAAAAGTCCATAGAAGGGTAACAAAGTCCATAGGGTAACAAGTCCATAGAGGTAACATGCCTATGAGGGTAACAAGTCCTTTTGGGTAACAATTCCATGAGACTAACAAGTCCATAGAGATAACAAGTCCATAGAGGTAACAAGTCCTTTTGGGTAACAAGTCCATAGAGGTAACATGTCCATAGAGGTAACAAGTCCATAGAGGTAACAAGTCCTTTTGGGTAACAAGTCCATAGAGGTAACAAGTCCATAGAGGTAACAAGTCCTTTTGGGTAACAAGTCCTTAGAGGTAAAAAGGCCATAGAGGTAACAAGTCCATAGAGGTAACATGTCCATAGAGATAACAAGTCCATAGGGTAACAAGTCCATAGAGGTAACAAGTCTATGAGGGTAACAAGTCCTTTTGGGTTACAAGTCCATAGAGGTAACAAGTCCATGAGGGTAACAAGTCGATAGAGGTAACAAGTCGATGAGGGTAACAAGTCGATAGAGGTAACAAGTCTATGAGGGTAACAAGTCCTTTTGGGTTACAAGTCCATAGAGGTAACAAGTCCATGAGGGTAACAAGTCCATAGAGGTAACAAGTCCATGAGGGTAACAAGTCGATAGAGGTAACAAGTCTATGAGGGTATAGAGGTAACAAGTCCTTTTTGGGTAACAAGTCCATAGAGGTAACAAGTCCATAGAGGTAACAAGTCCATGAGGGTAACAAGTCCATAGAGGTAACAAGTCTATGAGGGTAACAAGTCCTTTTGGGTAAAAGTCCATAGAGGTAACAAGTCTATGAGGGTAACAAGTCCTTTTGGGTTACAAGTCCATAGAGGTAACAAGTCTATGAGGGTAACAAGTCCTTTTGGGTAGTATAGAGGTAACAAGTCCATATAGGGTAACAAGTCGATAGAGGTAACAAGTCTATGAGGGTAACAAGTCCTTTGGGGTTACAAGTCCATAGAGGTAACAAGTCCATGAGGGTAACAAGTCGATAGAGGTAACAAATCGATGAGGGTAACAAGTCCATAGAGGTAACAAGTCTATGAGGGTAACAAGTCCTTTTGGGTAACAAGTCCATAGAGGTGACAAGTTCATGAGGGTTACAAGTCCTTTTGGGTTACAAGTCCATAGAGGTAACATGTCCATAGAGGTAACAAGTCCATAGAGGTAACAAGTCCATAGAGGTAACAAGTCCATAGAGGTAACAAGTCCTTTTGGGTAACAAGTCCATAGAGGTAACAAGTTCATGAGGGTAACAAGTCCATAGAGGTAACAAGTCCATAGAGGTAACAAGTCCATAGAGATAACAAGTCCATAGAGGTAACAAGTCCATAGAGGTAACAAGTCCATAGGGTAACAAGTCCAATAGAGGTAACAAGTCTATGAGGGTAACAAGTCCTTTTGGGTTACAAGTCCATAGAGGTAACAAGTCCATAGAGGTAACAAGTCGATGAGGGTAACAAGTCGATAGAGGTATCAAGTCTCTATAGGAGATAACAAGTCTATGAGGGTAACAAGTCCATTTGATGGTTACAAGTCCATAGAGGTAACAAGTCCATGAGGGTAACAAGTCCAGAGAGGTAGGAGGTAACAAGTCCATGAGGGTAACAAGTCTATAGAGGTAACAAGTCCTTTTGGTCTAACAAGTCCATAGAGATCACAAGTCCATGGGGTAACAAGTCCATAGAGGTAACAAGTCCATGAGGGTAACAAGTCCTTTTGGGTAACAAGTCCATAGAGGTAACAAGTCTATGAGGGTAACAATTCCTTTTGGGTTAACAAGTCCATAGAGGTAACAAGTCTATGAGGGTAACAAGTCCTTTTGGGTAACAAGTCCATAGAGGTAACAAGTCCATAGGGGTAACAAGTCCATAGAGGTATCAAGTCTATGAGGGTAACAAGTCCATAGAGGTAACAAGTCCATAGAGGTAACAAGTCTATGAGGGTAACAAGTCCTTTTGGGTTACAAGTCCATAGAGGTAACATATGAGGGTAACAAGTCCATGAGGGTAACAAGTCCATAGAGGTAACAAGTCCATAGAGGTAACAAGTCCATGAGGGTAACAAGTCCATAGAGGTAACAAGTCTATGAGGGTAACAAGTCCTTTTGAGGTTACAAGTCCATAGAGGTAACAAGTCCATGAGGGTAACAAGTCCATAGAGGTAACAAGTCTATGAGGGTAACAAGTCCATAGAGATAACAAGTCCATAGAGATAACAAGTATATGTAACAATTCCTTTTGGGTAACAAGTCCATAGGTAACATGTAACAGGTAGTCTATGAGGGTAACAAGTCCTTTTGGGTTACAAGTCCATAGAGGTAACAAGTCCATGAGGGTAACAAGTCCATGAGGGTAACAAGTCCATAAGGGTAACAAGTCGATAGAGGTAACAAGTCGATGAGGGTAACAAGTCGATAGAGGTAACAAGTCTATGAGGGTAACAAGTCCTTTTGGGTTACAAGTCCATAGAGGTGACAAGTTCATGAGGGTTACAAGTCCTTCTGGGTTACAAGTCCATAGAGGTAACAAGTCTATGAGGGTAACAAGTCTTTCTGGGTTACAAGTCCATAGAGGTAACAAATCTATGAGGGTAACAAGTCCTTTTGGGCTACAAGTCCATAGAGGTAACAAGTTCATGAGGGTTACAAGTACATAGAGGTAACAAGTCCTTTTGGGTTACAAGTCCATAGAGGTAACAAGTCCATAGAGGTAACAAGTCCATAGAGGTAACAAGACCATAGAGGTAACAAGTCCAAGGTAAATAGGTTAATGACAGTAATTTGTCCATGATAGTGAATGAGCATCCATTGATTACTTTCTGTTTTGACTGAAAATTCTCAGATAGATTAACAGCGTTATTATTTTACCATTAGAACTTTTTTCTAAATTATAATACCAGTTTGAACCATTAAAACGTGTGTCATCACTTGCTCACAGTATGAACTGTAAAAACATTCAGATCACAGCCTAGGTTGAGGAACAGAAGCACTTGCCCAGATACATATATTGTATGTATGTTGAGGGTGTGTGTTTGAGGTACACTGGAGAACGATGGCGCCACCTATGATGCATACACAATGGACAGATGGACAGACCCTAAGAGAACAGACTTCATGGACCAACAGTCTGCCTGGAAGAAGGGACAACCATGGTCCCGTCTCCTTGACCTTGGCTCCAACATGAAGCAGATGGTGGCTGGGCCAGATGGAAACCCGATGGGTGTGTTTGATGGTGGGTAGCATCAACAAAGGCATTGGTATTGTATAGCTGACAGAATTTCTGCCACTGAATGAGATTGACATGAGTTTATAGAGCTGATGAAACATGAATATAACATCAGTCAATCAACATGTGACCTGCCTTAGTGGTTTAATGGGTAGAGCATCTGTCTAGAGAGTTGAAGGAGGGTAGTTTGATCCTGTATCACACCAACAGACATTAAGATAATATACAATTACAGACTGGTGATGAGGTCAATATTGCTTTTCGCGGGTCCATAAAAACAGGTATTGACCGAATTCACCAGCCCATAATTGTTTTATTATGTAATTACTGAAAAAATCTTCTCAAAACAAAAACATGTCCATTTAGTCAAGAAAAGTAATTTTATTTTCGCTACAAACCAATAACGTTATGTCAACAATACTGTGACATGTAAACAATAGAATGACGTCATAGCTTGATGTCAAAATCTATTTTAGTAACTCAAGTCAGTATGACTTTTGGTCGGACCTGGTTGGAGTCAATATGCATTTCTGTCGATGGTCACGGGACCACCTCTAGACCAATCAGGTAGCCGGAAAAATATGCTTACATAATAACATTTGTTATTACCCTGCCCAGTCAGCATCAAGGGGATTACAGCCTCTGTCAGAGTGGGGTATCCATGTTAAACTGCAGCATGGTATCCAGGTGGCTGGAACTACAAAACCAGCATGAGTCTCTACAAGCAGCCACACACACATGAAATATATGTGTGCAACATTTTTTAATGCAGTGTTACACTCCATTTCGCCTCACCAACTGGCAAACAAGTATAAGTTGGTCCGGCGCAGAGAATGTGTTTACGAGAAGAAGGCAGTGCGAGGCAAAGAGCAAACCCATTTGGTTTGTGAAAGGTAGAGCAGATGGAGGCTACTGCACATGCATTGCATGACGATTAATTTGATTCTGTGCGTAGCTGCACATGCCTTGCTCATAAGACTCTCACATCGGTGTAGCACACTAAACTTGATCGCGCACAACCTGGGTCCCCTTTGCTAACAATAGCAAGCGCCAGTGGGCGGCACTCATACATGCTACTATGAGTCAATTGTCAGGTTGGTGCTCAACTTATCCTTGTTTGCCAGTAAGGGTCAGTGGGGTGGCCTAGTGGTCTGAGCATTCGCAATCACACAGAAGACCCAGGTTCAATTCCAAACATGGGTACAATGTGAAGCCCAATACTGGTGTCCCCAGTGATGATATTGCTGGAATATTGCTCAAATTGACTCACTCACTCACTCTGCAGGTAACTCAGGGGTAAAGATTGGCTACAGCAACATGGGAGAGCCAGTGATGACAGACTTCGGGGACCTGTACGCTAACTTCCGGTACGGAGGTGGAGGAGGCAGCATGGAGGTAAAGTCACATGTCATCCTACTTCAGTTCATTCATATCTGGAATTGAATTAACGACATAAACGTGAAGGATGGCTTTTATCGACACTCATGTTTACACTTGCTGTGCATTTATTGATTTATGACTACTGAGATCAATGTTGGCAGAAATGTGGATTGGTTGTCCACAAAGCTTCTGTGAATGTATGTGAGAACATACTATCATGGCTGCATGTATTAGTCTTCATACTAGAGACCCTCTGAAGGTCTGGGTAAGAACAGGTCAAACAAACAGGATCAGGAAGTCAGGTTTATTGACTTGGTTCTGTTTGTTTGTTGTTTAACGCCACATTTGGCAATATTCCAGCTATATGGTGATGGTGTGTAAATCATCCAGTCTGGACCAGACAATCCAGTGATCAACATCATGAGCATTGATCTACGCAATTGGGATACGATGACATGTGTCAACCAAGTCAGCGAGCCTGACCACTGATCCCATTAGTCGCCTCTTACGACAAGGGGGCGGTGGGGTAGCCTAGCGGTTAAGGCGTTTGCTCGTCATGCCGGAGACCTGGGTTTGATTCCCCACATGGGTACAATGGGTTAAGCCCATTTCTGGTCTCTCCGCCGTGATATTTCTGGAATATTGCTAAAAGCGGCATAAAACCAAACTCACTCACTCACTCTTACAACAGCATAGGTTGCTGAAGATCATTCTAACCTCGACCAGCATGGGTCATTGATTTGCTTAATGCATGTCATTGCTCTATCTATAGATCTATGCTCATGACTGACATCATTGGCGGATCCAATTTGGAGGGGAGGCTTTGAAAATTCTAGGATCTGCGTAGGTGTGTGAGGTCCAGCCTTGATTATATACAGAACGTGTCTGAAGGCTATAGTAGTGTTGAGTAGAGTGTTCAACAACATACAAACAACTGAATTTAAGACATACTAAAGGCATATGGATTGGCTAATGTGATGTTTAATTTTGAAACATTGTTACACATGCAGGTGCCCCTTGTCCGTGGTGCCACCCTGCTGACACACATCATGCACAACGCTAACCCTGTCGTCACCCCATACTGTCTCAGTTCACTCAATGGGAAGTCAGTCAGCAAGTTCAACTGCCCAATGGAAAACTCAGGTACTGAATAACATTTTAACACCATTTTTTAAATCGGTCTGTTGATTAGTAAAAAAAAATCTTGGAGTTTGAGAGTAAAAAATCATTTTTCCAACCAACAAACTCAGCTTTTCAGTGTTCAGTTCAGGTCCTTTGTCCTTAATTCTCTACTCCCATGAAGTCCGACATCAACTCACACACAAGCTCCATCACATTTGAACCCCAGCATGGAGGAACGTACAGCAGACTTGCGCAGCTCGGATACTTGGGGCAGGACCAAGGGGGGAGCACTCTCAAAGAAAGAGAAAGAGAATAATGGTTTTAGGGGAGGGGATCACCCATTTTGTTGTAGGAAGGAAGGAAGTCAGCAATTTTGTACACATCTACTGGGTCAGCAATTTTGTTCATAATTATTGAAATATTATGTTTTGATTTTGTACATGACGTGCAGGGGCTCACTTACTTTGTACATTTTTCACCCATTTTTTGTAGGAAGGTTAGGGGAGTCAGCAATTTTGTACACATGTACTGGGTCAGCAATTTTGTTCATAATTATTGAAATATTATGCTTTGTACATGACGTGCTGGGGCTCACTTACTTTGTACATAAATTTTAGGGGGGTCATTCACATTGTATATACTTCTCCATAAAAATCATCATCACCCCCACACCTCCACACCCAGCCATAAATTATGAATGGTCCCTAACATAGAGGTAGGCATAGAGGCATAGCATAGGCGTTTAGCTTAGTGGTTCAGCATAGATGTGCATGTTAGTGGTATTGTTTAGAAGCAGAGCATACAAGTGTAACTTAGTAGTTTACCATAGACGTGTAGCTTTGTGTTTGATCTTTGTGGTTCAGCATAGATGTGTGTCTTAGTGTCCTAGGTTACAGATGTACTGGTGACATAGAGTAGAGGTCAAAGTGTAAGCCATTGTCAGATCCAGATTTGACTTCATATTCTGCCATCCTATATAAGAAATATTGCTGAGTGCAGTAACAAAAAACAAAATGTGTAAACTTGTCACAACAAACACGTAAATCTGATATTCAAAGCGATACATCACTTGAAGAAAGTTACTTATGTCCCCTAACATGATACTGCTACAGTATTGTTTAAATCTGTGTAAACTCCCTCTGTCACAGCTAGGGACGGCGGCAGTGGCTACTTGGAGGGATCCTGCCACGGCAGCACGCTGACCATCAAGGTCCACAGTACTAAGCCCATCACCGACATCACCAAGTTGCAGTGGGCGGCAGAGAGGAAGTCCACCTGGTCCAGTGGGCATCATGGGATGCATACATGTGACCACACCCACTGCCGGAGTCAAGATGGAGGGAAGACCATCGAGATTACTGTCACTGGTGCCTCAGGTAGGAACATATTATGTATTTCTGTATTTGAGGGTGTTTATGCGTATTTGATCATTTGTGAAAACAGAGGTTTCAATTGAAAGATTTCTGGGTCACCAGAATTGAAACATAGCTGCATTGAATATGTCATCTCTGCCCAGTTTTTCAGCCATTTCTATTTGTTTTTATCAAATGTGGTTCAGTGGGGTAACCTCATGGTCCATGTGTTTGCTTGTCATACCGAAGTCCAGGTTTGATTCCCCAGAGAGGTACAATGTGTGAAGCCAATTTCTGGTGTCTCTTTGGTACAACATGAATATTACTGAAAGCTGCGTAAAAGCAAACTCACTCACTCATGCATGCAATGTGTGTATGCGCATAAGTAAACGTTATTTCAGATTTGTAGCTGCCATGGCAGATCTGTTGAACTTTAATGTTCCATTCAGCCAGTTATTAAAATAATTGTGTCTGTTATGTGGAGGGGCTGTGGGTTAGCCTAGGGGATATCAACCTTAAGGGTGCTTCTCACTATATATTAAGCATTCTTGTTTTCCCGGAATAACCGCATTTGAGGTTTTTGTTTGCTCTCAGATTTTACTTTTGTAAGTAAGGCCTCATCCCAGGTTTTACTTTTTGTAATTCTTTTTTCCTAACTCTGTATGAACATCAACATTCCAATGATATATCAGTGTTTGAAATCAATTGAAAATAGCATAAATTTCAAAGTGCAAATGTTTTCTCTAGCAGGATTAGAACCACATCTAACAGGTTAATAAGCGGATGCTCTACCTCACGGCCAACGAAGAAGTGGGGGTTGAATTATCTATACATAGTTACTGTCATTCAATTGATTTTACTTGTGCTTCAGTTATTGTTATGTAGCTTCATTAAATGATCATCTACATTATAATTATCCATCACTGGCGGTTTATATGTTAGGGAAAACACTTCCCCTTGGTTTTGGTAGAGAATGTAAAACCTTGGGATTTCCCTCCTCCCTCGGTTTTACATTCTCTACCAAAACCTCGGGGGCGTGTTTTCTCCTATACTTAAAGTGTTTGCACATCACACCAAAGACCAGGGTTCAATTCCCCACATGGGTACAATGTGAGAAGCCCATTTCTAGTGTCCCCCGCTGTGATATTGCTGGAATATTGCTAAAAGTGGCATAAAACCATACTCGCTCACTGTTATGTGGAAACATCTGTTTCAGCACATGCTTTCCCCTAAATAACTATTTTGATCTGAAGTCGAAACTGCCAGAAAATTCAAGTGTGGTGCAAAGTTTTATGTTTCTATTTTCAACAGGTGCGATGAGTTTTGCAGTGAATTTCATTGGCCACTATGTGCTGCCCTGGGACTGGGGCAACCACCCGATGGAGACCACGTGCTCTGGGTCGGGGAAGCGAGATGACCGTCAGCGGAGGGGTCCAGAGGATATCTCCATGACAGCACAGTGTGATGCCCACAGGAATCTTGTTGTTCGAGTTGATGTTGGCGGTAACAACATTCCTGGTATCAGCAAGGTTTGTCAGATCTCAGTATCAACTGCTTGGATATAAATGCCTGTTGGATCAATAGCTCACCAGTGAAAACATCTGTCTATGTTCCAAAAATCAACCCTTGAAGAATCCGGGTTAGAATTTATCTTCAGTAACCGATGCTTGTCGTGAAGAGTCAGCTAACGGGATCGTGGTGGTTAGGCTCGCTGATTTGTTTGACACGCTTCATCGTGATTCCAATTGTGTAGACCGATGCTCATGCTATTGATCACTGGATTTTCTTGTCCAGGCAGAATTCTAGAATTGAATGACCAAATATCTTGCGATCATAACTTTTGCAAATCTTTGAGGATAATACTCTTTAGGAGATAAACATCATGTTGGTGAATTTCGTGCGTTATTGAATATTTGAAGCACGGAATTCATTTGGAACTGACGGCCAGCCGGAGGTTTCAAATGAAATATTCCCATGCTTCAAATACTCAATAACACCCCGGAAATTCGCCAACACATGATGTTTATCGACATTGTAAACACAAAAGTAAAACCAAAAAGTCCACACACGCTTTTTGTGTCTGCACTCATTGACATCGAATACGGGTACAGCAGTGAAATGTCATCAGTCAGTCCGCTTCAGCTGTCTCCCATGGTAGCATCTTGAACTGCTGATTTGTGACGTCATTCGGATTTTACGTCACAATATGATTTTAATGACGCCACCACAGCTGACTATAACAATACAATGGCGTGAGCTGGCGTTTGTATGTATTAATACGCAGAGAATTTCCGGGAATCAAATACCATTTGATCACGTTTTCAACCAATCAGATTAAAGAACATAGTGACTTTTGGTTTACAATATTTTATAAATTATTTTTTTTCTGTGGTAAAACTGATGTGTTATCTTTGGAGGTACATGGAGGTGCATTACATACCAGGTACCAAATTTGCCATATCTTGATTGATTTATCTCCTACATTGTGCATATACATATCAGACTTTTATTCACCAAGTAATATTTTTAAAAAGTTGTCAAAATACTTTGCCTCAATAGAGCTGTTCCCAAATAGTACCTTTCCTCCAAAGGAAATAGACAATTAGCGATTTTACCACCTATACCTTGTTCCAATTGTTCAGGTACAGTATGCGGCTGCAGACAAGGCCCACTGGAACCCTGTCCCTGCGATGCACACTTGTCAGGCAAGCACCTGCTCCAGGTCTGGCTCAGTCATCACCATCAAGTCCAAAGTCTCCGCCAGTGTTGTCAAGTATGTATATTTTGTGTGGCACAAAACAATAAGATAGCACATTGTGACATAGTGAGTGAGTGAGTATGGTTTTTCAACGCATTTAGCACTATTCCAGCAATATCACAATGGGGGACACCAGAAATGGGCTTCTCACATTGTACCCATGTGGGGAATTGAACCTGGTCTTCGGCGTGATGAGCGAACTGGCTAACCCACCTCGTGAAGGCTAACGTACCACATCTGTAACCATGAGATTCAACATACCTTATTAACTTGTTTCCATGGTGAAGAAGATCCATGTCAGCATCTCTAAATCTATTTTGGATTTCTCCTTTCTCATTTTCAGACCCACTGTGATATAACTTCAATGCTCTTCAAAGCCAGTCACTCCACTCACTTGCACTCACTCACATGCACACTCACTTCATGCACTCTCACATTCACACTCACTTCACTTTCATGCACTCACACTTGCACTTCACCCACACACACTCACTGTACTCACACTCACTTTCATGCACTCACACTTCACACTCACTCATGCACTCATGCACACACACTTGCACTCTCACACTCTCACTTTCATGCACTCACACTCACTTTCTCACTCATGCACTCAGACTCACTTTCATGCACTCACACTCACACTTTCACACTCACACTCATGCACTCTCACTTTCATGCACTCACACTTGCATTCACCCACACTTGCTACTCACACTCACACTTCACTCACACTCACTTTCATGCACTCACACTTGCACTCACTTTCATGCACACACTCACTTTTCTCATGCACTCCTCACACTCACTCAGACTCACTTTCATGCACTCACACTTTTCATGCACTCCCACTTACACTGCACACTCACTCTTTCATGCTCTCACACTCACTTTCATGCACTCACACTCACAATACTCACACTCTCACTTTCATGCACTCACACTCACTTTCATGCACTCAGCACTCACTTTCATGCACTCACACTCACTTTCATGCACTCACCGCCACTCACTTGCATGCCTCTCACACTCACATGCACACCTCGCTCATTTTCACACTTACTTTCGCACACACTCACTTGCACTCACACTTCTCCATGCACTCACACTCACTTGCCTCATGCACTCAGATACTTGCACTCACACTCACTTCACTCATGCACACACACACTCTTGCACTCACACTCACACTCACTTTCATGCACACACTTGCTCAATTAATCAAACAAACAAACAAACAAACAAACGCTCAATCACTTTACTGATATATTTTCACAGCCTTGCTCTGAACATCATTGGCTATACCGTCCTGCCCCACCAGCAATGGATTGCCAACCCCTATGTCGTACATTGTCCTGGGACCCAGGTCACCAGTGGGAAGACTTCAACAAATCCAGGACACCACAACACCCCGGCACCAGCTACACCAGCTCCAACTCACACCAGCAACTCCAACCACCAAACGGTAACGCTGTCCCAAAACACCAAGTTTTTGATGGAACTCGATGAACCTGGTGACAGTCTACCAGGGCAGACGCGAAAATTTGTCCTATATTTCTCCGCTCCCGTGAAAGCTAGCATCAACTCACACACAAGTTCCATCACATTTGAACCCCAACATGGAGGAAAGTACAGCGGACTTGTGCAGCTTGGTTATCTTGGGGCGGGTCAAAGGGGAGACCACTCTCAATCAAATTATCTGGATTCATACGCAGGACGTTACTCCTACAAACCATCCACCTCTTACTGTGTGAATGATGCTCAAGAAAAGGCATTTGTCAGTTTTGACTGGAGCCCCTATGGAGCAGACGGTCACCCCTCTAATGGAGATCTTCTCATGGTAGCCATGCCTCATCATGTGAGAATACAATTCATTTATCTCTTTAAACAAATTGACTTTCAGGGATTAAACATTCCATATTTGGGAGTTGGCCTGTATTGTTTGATTGTTTGCTTTCTACTGTCAATTCCTCAAGATATACAATATTGTTTTCTCTGAAGGAGGAGTCATACATTTGGCTTTTTTTCCCAACACCTTTTTTTCAACATGTACCCTCATGTTCAGTCACTGATTTTTTCTGTTTGTGAAAAATCAAGGATGTTTATTCTTTTATTTCATCAAAGATGGAGTCGTCAAATAGTTAATTACAGATTTAGATTTCTATATTTTTTTGGGGTAATAGCTTTGGTTGATACAGTGCACAAAAAGAAACTGAACTAATTTATGACCTTTAGAAGCTGACGATAGTGAGATTTAGATCACACATCTATCTTCCAGTCCCTCATCCTATCGAAGCACTTCAGCAACCATCTCCAGAACACCCCATATGGGTTCAAAGGCTACAAGGGAATGGACTGGCTCCTGGAAATGGATGCTCCACGAGCCAGTATGGATCCAGATCCTTCAGGAGTCAATCGAGTCAAAAGTAACTCACATCAGAAAAAGGTAGGACTTGCATCTACAGAATTTGGGGTGGCACTTGTCACCTGAAAGTGTGGTTAATAGAGATTCTCAACTTATTGTGTTATTTAATATGAAATATATCAGCTTGAGTCAATATAAGTTTGAAACTGTGAGACTATCCCAGCAGTTTTCTACTCTGACAAGTGTTGATATGTGTGGTATAAAAGACATGAGATGAGATTGTATTTATCATCCAAAATTATTCTGCAAACCTTTTTTGGTTCGTAAATGGTAATAACCAGTGTGTTGAGTGTGAAAAGAATACATAACCAGCTTCAGAGGCAGAGAGAATAATGATTCTGTTTGATTGTGATGTCATGGATCCAATTTATGTCACAAACATAAGCAAATCATTGTGATGTAATTTCATTGTAGTGATATTAGTGATAGTTGATTGATATTACCCAAGCATTATATCCTATAGAAGACAGATGTAAATGACTAGGACTTAATTTGACATGACAAGTACACACACACACTCTCACAGGGCTTTCCACATAAAGGTCAGTTGTTCAGTTACCAGTCTTTCTTCAGCTGCAGGAGCAGAAGGGTAGCCTGTGGTTAAATAGTCCGCTCGTCACGCTGAAGACCTGGGTTTGTTTCACCATATGGGTACAATATGTGAAGCCAATTTATGGTGTCCCCTGCTGTGATATTGCTGGAATATTGTTAAAAACAGTAAAACTATACTCACTCGCTCGCTCGCTTCTTGACCTGCTAGTTTCATACGAACAGAAGTAGGGAATGGCTGGTGGTAGCAGGGGAGGTGAAGCACAGATTATTGAACTGTGTGTGTTCCAGGACATTGTTGATGCCATCGAGCGTGATGCAAAGGATGTGAACTTGAACGCTGTGTGTGCCCATTCCGACAGCTACAACGTTGGCAAGGCTATAGGCATGGCAGCACGGCTTGCCAGTATCTCGCGAGCCTTTGGCACCCACCATTACACAAGCCTGGACAGCTCTATCAAGTCCTGCCTCGAGAAATGGCTGCGTGTTGATGGTAGGGTGCCTTTTTTATGTTACTTGACTTTGACTAGTTCCAGAGTCATTGTCATCTCATCCCAGTTAGAGTTGTGTTCTAGGATTAGGATGATGTGATCAGTTTCAGGATTCACATTGATATAAATCAATTACTAGTGATTCATATGAATGCCTACCATCCAATACTACTCGTGGTTATGAATCTCTCTCTCTCTCTCTCTCTCTCTCTCTCTATCGCAAACACACACACTCTCACACACACACACACTCTCGATTTCTCTATAAAACCACACACACAAAGAGAAGGACACACACAAGAGAGGGAGAGAGAGATAAATAATGGATGTCTTTTTCTTGATTGACTGCTAGTAGAATGTGGAAAGGGGTGGATCATGGAAGGGATATCTTCGAGATATCTTTGAGTTTGGTACCTTGACTGTTTTTGGCAAACCACGTCAGTGTTTCCTTATACACTCCTGCCAACACACACACAATATAGATCAATACCATTATTTGTCTTAACTTACTCATGCGGTTTTGTTTGAACAAATCTGTAAACCATACATTAGGAAGTGTTGCCTAGCAATCACTATTCTGACATCCAGATTCCCTGGACACTAAATGGAAGTTCCACTACGACAATGTGTGGGGCGGGATGTTCCTCCGAGCCACTGACGGCGACCTTGGATACGGCACCGACTACGGGTTCCCCTACTACAACGACCACCACTTCCACCTTGGCTACTTCCTGTACGCTGCGGCCTACTACATTAAGCACAATCATAGCTGGGGGCAGGGTAAGCCAAGCACAGATACAACCAAAAACTATCTTGCACTGTGATATGAGTTAATTATCCTCAAGGCAGCCGACATGTTTTAATGAGTTTGTAAATAAACGAATCTGGACCCGACAATCCAGTGATCAACAGCATGAGCATCAAGCTACATTATTGGGATACGATGACATGTGTCAACCAAGTCCCGTTAGTTGCCTCTTACAACAAGCATGGGTTGGTGAGGACCTGTTCTAACACTAGTAAGGGAATGGCCAGTTGGTATTTAAATGTTTGATGCTTTAGTTGTATGATTTTCTTAACTGCATTTGTACCTTCTTCTCCTGTTTTGTGTGCTTACTTCTATGTTATCATATGAAGAAAACAGTACACTGTATACTATAAACTATAGATTAACTGTTATAACAAACTGGACGAGGCCACACATTTTGAGTTTATAATATCCGTAGTATGTTATATACGTTTTGACTAAATATACTGGAAGTGTTTGGGACAAAAGAAACAGTTCTTAAAATTAACTTCTTAAAATGCATCAAGTTGTTATGAGCATGTGCATTATCAACATAGTTTACTGTATCTATTAAGCAGTACAATGTACCAGATATTATCTATATATTGTCCAGCACTGCAGTCCTGAAAGTTAACCGTTATATGTTACATATATTTACACTTAGCATTGAAATATTTGGAATCGTATTTTTCCTGTGAAGCTCACAAGGACCGTCTTTATGCCATTGCACGTGATGTTGGTAATCTCAGCCCCCGGGACACGAGATTTCCCATTGCTCGTCACAAGGACATCTACGCGGGTTTCTCCTGGGCGACAGGTGTTGTGCCCAATGACAGACAGGAGGAATCTGCTTCTGAGGTAAGCATAGAGTAATCCTTAATCTCTAAGGACATATAACTTTGATGAAAACAAATAATTCCGTTTAAACTGAAAATGAGCCACAGTATCTGAATCTCAGGAAATGATTTGCTTGTTTCTTCTTGGGTGAATAGGCTGAAATTGAGGTACACAATACATGATATACATCATATTAAAAAAGTGTTTTGAGGGGTCAGCAAAATGTCTTCTTTCACAAACGAACCAGACTGTAAATGTGAGAATTGGAGCACTTTTTTCATCCACAAAACCTTCTGCTTGAACCATTCTTGACTTGTGATGATTCTTTGTTCAATATTCCCAGAGTATCAACTGTTACCATGCTCTGGCAGCACTTGGCGACGCCTTCAGCGATGCCAACTTGAAACACTCCGGTCAGGTCCTGCTTGCAATGGAGCTGCTTTCGGTGCGAGAGTACTGGCAAGTTCGACAACACAACCGTGCCCACTTTCCTCCTGCCTTTCAGAAGACAGGTGTCGTTGGTCAGATTGCTGAAAACGCCTTCTATGTGTACACGCTGGACTGGGCATGTGACCCCAATAAGTTTCCCATGAGGCATGGCTGCCTTGTCGGGATACAGATCATCCCCATTACAGCTGCATCCAAGTACTGGGTGGACAAGGTGAGTCAGTGTGTTTGGTTTTGCAATGCTCTTAGCAATATTCCAGCAATGTCATGGTGGGGACACCAGAAATGGGCTTGAAAATTCACCAGCAGTATGACTTCAATACTCATTCAATATGATTAAATGCTTCTGAACTAAACAAATAACTTTTGTAATTTTGCATTTTCTATCGCCATGGATTCTTTGGTTGCACATGGAATGCCCACTGTTACAAACTTCAGTGACCATGTTAATTTTTCTGAAGTAATTTAGGTAATATTAAACCATATTATACTGTAATTTAGAATCAGAACTTTGACACAATACGCATTTAAGAGAATGTACATGAATTACATGGAACAGGTGAATAGAGTTATCTCCCCTTAATAGGAGTGGGCCCACAGCATCCAGCAGACGTGTGAGTGGGCAATCAACCCTCAGTCCGCCCCTGACTACAAGTACACAGACCCCACCGACATGAGGCAGCTGGCCGTGGTGAGTAGAACACTGTATACCTCTGAGATTGACCATATCTTTGAACTCAAATATGACCAAATATTGGGAGTAGGCTGCTCCAGTTTATCATTTGACTGTCATCATAATGTCATGAAATTAAACCCTTCGTCCTGCACAAGTTAAACCAAAACTGCAAGTGATAAATGTTATTTGAATGGCTAATGAAGAAATTTCTTTGGCATTTTCTTTGTTCCCATTATGGAGTACACAAATTAGGTCACTTTGACAAGTTGTCTACTGTTTCCTGATTGGTGATATCTATAGTGTTGCATGAGCGAAAATTCACCCATGATACCTATTCTGTAAATTTTGAGATACCATATTTTCTGTAATAAACACCCTTCACCCACTGACAAACTTTATGATAAACCTACATGTAATTTTTATAAGATTCCTGTTAAAAATTATTTTGATGATGACATATTTTTACAAATTATTTTGACATAAAATGGCAGCATGAAAGGCACATACTAGTGGTAGTTGCACAATCGCAATCTTATAAGTTTCCTTGATTGTTTGTTTCCTAAGTCCCAGGGTGTTGCAATGGCCAATAAACATGTCAGACAGAAGACATTACAGAGTGACCATTAAATTATAGGGCTGGGATAATACATCGCGATACATTTAAGTTTGATACAGCTATTATCGACATCGACTATTGACTAGTGTATCGATACAAAAGCGATACACAACTTTTTTTTACAAAACAGTATTATATTAAATATGTTAGAGTTCTTATTTAGAGAAAAATACGCATTTTTAAAAGTTTTCAACTCACGTTAAACTAGCTGTCTGTTCAGTAATATTCAGCTACGACCGTCATTCATTCATTTTAAATCTTAGTACTGTATCATTCTTCCAAGGTGTATGTATCATGATAATGATCATTAAAAAAGAGAGGTAAAGTATCACGATAGTATCGTGATCGTGACATAGTGTATCGTACCAGCCCTATTAAATTAAAAAGAGATGCTATTTAATAAACACAGACGATATCTCAATTTTGAAATCTGTATCCACTGCACCATATTTTGGCCTTAAGTCATTATTAAACTTTCTCCACTCTGTTGTGCAGGGATGGAAGGCATTCTGTCATGCAGGCTTATCTCCCCTGGATTCAGCACACCAGACTGCTGCTGCCACCTACCTCCGCGATAAATCTGCCAACAACCTTGTTGGCGGGACCGGCGCTGCCAGCACCCTGCTCTTTATCTACGCTGCGACATAGTCTGATTGTAAATATCTAGTCCTCGTGTATAGTACACCAACAATAAATATTTCATGTTGAACAATGTAGTCAGTTTGTGTTGTGATTTTGGATATGACAGGAAAACATAGGAAGTCAGGAGTGGGCGAGTTGGGTTTCAAGGTGCATTGAACAGTATTCCAGCTATGTCATTGTGTTTCAGCTTAATGAGTGGTGAGTGGTGCATCATACTGTCTCGAATTCCAGAGTGTGAAAACAGGCCTCGGCAAAATGTCATTTGAAAGTGAAGTTTTTTATTCCTGATATCTCCATAGTATAGTTCCCTATAGTAATGGATTAAAATCCTACCACATCAAGGTGGTGAGCTAGCCTACTGGTCAAAGTGTTCACTTGTAGGTCTAGGTTTGAATCCCCACAATATTTGACTCCTGTATCTGTCTGTATTTCTCCCTGATACAGCAAGAATATTGTTAAAAGTTCTGGAAATATCTCACTCACTCATGACAACAGTATCCAGGCAAACAGAAATGAATGTTACAGCATTGTTAGAATGAAGGGATGTAGGTTTACTACTTCTGGGTACCTGTGAAGGTCCGGGTTAGAATATTGATCTTCAGTAACCCATGCTTGTCGTAAGAGGCGACTAACGGGATCGGGTGGTCAGGCTCGCTGACTTTGTTGACACATGTCATCGGTTCCCAATTGCACAGATCGATGCTCATGCTGTTGATCACTGGATTGTCTGGTCCAGATTCGATTATTTACAGACCGCCGCCATATAGCTGGAATATTGCTCAGTGTGGCGTAAAACTAAACTCACTCACTACTTCTGGGAACCCATCAACACAGGTATATTACTGCATCCTACAAACACCAGGAATAATCCAGTCGAACCACGATTTGAACTCACAATCACAGGTTCGCAGCCTGTCGTAGGAATGCAACTCTCTGCATGGCAAACTGTGGTGCCTAATATGACTTTACAATCTGGAAACGTTTTCTTATCCTTATCCTCAAATCAGCTTTTATGATTCCATACTGTTCTCCCTTGAAAATAGGATCTGAGCAGAGTTACTTCCCTTTGACTCTTCATTGCAGATGAGAGGCAATAATGGGAAACAGATAAACAAGAAATGAAAGTAAATTACGAACATTTTTATTCCATTCCTTTTATAGTTCATTGTCACACTGAAACATGAACACTAGATGAATTATGTCAAATTAAGACCATACAGACAGACATAAACAAATAACAGATTTACTAAATATAATTTATTGTTTGTTTTATTCCCCAGCCCAGCTTATCACAATTTATCACTTTAAAATTACAAATATATGACTGATATACTACCTGAGCAAAAATAAAGAACTCCCCACACCACACCCCCAAAAAATAATTTATTTATTTTAAAACAAAAATAAATTAATATTATTTTTTTTTAAATTCCCATTCTATAATTTGTCAAGAGTCAATCTGTATTGTTATAATGTTTTGACATATTAAATAGTCATTATATAATACATATATAAGTATGTACCTATCATGTTTACCAATATATCTCAAATAAACTGTCTTGATTAACAACTATACAAACAGAGACATTGAGTTGAATTAACCTGTGAAGATATGAATATATTTACATATGAAACAATGTTAAGTTTCTGAACACATGTATGGAAACGAATAATAATGTATAGAAACAATATCAAACATATCACTGGTATAAAATGGACATTCGATACTTCCATATATCACAGACAGACATCAGCACAGTATGGTATAAAGGTTATATTGTATAGTACAAATTGTATTAGTACTGATATTTATAACCATGTATGTACAACAGAATTAAACTGAGCAAACAGAGTATCTTTGTCGGATACTGATAATACTTGATATAAAAGATAAATCTCTACATCTTCAATGATATGAATATATCATCTGTGTTGAGAATGATTACAATGTTATCAAAGCTATTCAAATGTGGTTAGAATTAATTGAGCAGATACTTCAAGAAAGATGAGAATACAATATTTAATAATAAAATAACTAAAATAATAAATATTAATATAAAATACACAGTGAAAATGTATATACTGGTTCACTTTGTTTAATAATACTGACTAAAGTAATATTGTATTATTACATGTATACAGGACCATTTATCAGTCTCTCACTGACAGGTGACATGTCTGATTGACGGATGACAGCTGTCGATTTCATACATGGAATGTACAATCCCCTCGACACATGAAATCCTGGAAAAATTAATGTACATAACATGATTGTACAGAAAACAACAGTTCTAACAAAACTCAAAGGGGACCACTATTTTTAGTTGTACAGCAACTGTCTAGGACAAAAAAGCCAAATAGTTTGTTATATCCGTCAGTTTGTTATAAGCCTGTTTATTATACACATACCTTGTTATACATGCGTTTTAACAATTCCAGAGAACACTACATCCCCAGTATTAGGTGACGGGGTGGACAAAGGAAGACTGTATGGTCAGGTCCAGCTTCTTTCACCTTTGAGCTGAACAGATCTCAGGCTGGCAGGCTCTGGTTTGCCTGGTCCAGACTTGATCATTTACAGGCTGATGTGAAAGCTGTAATATTGCTGATTATGACAATTTGCAATTTCACTCACTCACTCATTCATTTAAGGATGCTGCCTGTCATATTATTGTGGTTTTGTCCTTTTAATTGGGTCATTGCTCATGCGTTCAATCACAGGTTTGCCTGGTCCAAACTTGATAGCAAACAAAATATTCCATCTAACCTTATCCCCTTTTTAGTTCAGTATATAGTTGTGAAAACTTTTCCTGCTCATTGTATAACTGACCATGGCTAGAAACTCAACAAAAGCCATTTCTACCAATCATATTAATAAACACATGACAACATGTAAGGTTTCACTAATATATAATAAGTTGATTCTCCATTGTTCTATATACAAGAATATATATACTACTCAAAAGAAAATAGGTGGATATTCCTTAATATGTTTGAGTAGTATATTTGGTATACGATGAAGTATAAACTTAGCAGTGTTGTTTTCATGGACAATATTCAATACAAAACCATGATTCAGGTTAGCCTTGAAAGACATAAATGTAAAGGTTTCATAAATCACCCTAACAATATAGCAAAAAAAAGATCAAGATATATGTTTCTGAAATGAGACTGAAACATGCAATGTAATTACAATCATCATAATATATGTCGTACATAATAAGGATTACTATCACACAGACAAAATGAGAAAATGAAATTGTGGAAAGAAGTTTGTGGGTAATATTTAGACATTCAACAACCTTTAGATGTAAACAAAATTTAGACAGTAAATAAGAAGCTATCAAGCAACATTTATACCAGTAAACAACAACATTTACTTACCAGTAAACAACAACATTTACAAAGAAACAAACAACCATTCTGATAAAAATATACAATATGCACTTTTATGAAAACTGCAGCTAAAATTCACAACAAATCACTTTGATAGTTGTATAGACTGTATCAACAATACATTATCTCAGTGGTAAGGAATATAGTATATTAATATGACTTTGAGCTAATCTGCTGATATAACAAACAGGAAAAGTATCTAAATGATAAAATAACTTCATCTTGTTTACATACACATGTAGCTACATCCCCAAATCCAAACCAATTACTTTTTCTTACAATAATAATATTTTGCATTTATTGTCATAATGCATAAAACTATATTCACTCACTACTCTCACCAACAGAGAATGTATAACACTGTAGTTTATTCCTCATCAATCATTTAACAACTGCAAGTTCTGCTTCACTGTGTCTCACTTAGGTTAAACTTTTATTCTGTGACAAACAATTCGCAAACATGTATCTGGAAGTCCAACATCAATATCTTATCAATAAAATAATCAATTTGATTAAACTCTGAGAAGAAACCATTATTTTTCCATGACTTTCCCTTGTACTCTACTCACAAGGTGGCAGGTTGTTGTGGAAGCATACGATTTGATTTGCATTCCAATGGAATATTTCTTTGACAGTATACATGTGTATACACACAGACAAAGAGTTGCCTGGCATAAAATGGTCAATAACAATCACAAACCTTAACACATATACCGTAATTCCTCTATTAGACACTGGGCCCCTGATACATACCTGCCTCTAATTGAATCTCTGGCAATAATATTAAAAACTGGATCTCAATTAAATGTCAGGGCCTCCTTTCACAAAGCACTAAGGTGATCGTAAGTCACTAAGGTAACCTTAGTGCAATGTTAAAGAATAGGATTTAAGGTCAACCTTAGTAAAGGTTGCTTCGTGAAATGAGACCCAGGGCCCCGTTTCACAAAGCTATCGGAGCGCAACGACTGTCGTAAGTCTAAGTTAAAGTATGGGAGGTACAAATGCTACGAGAAAAGTTACGAGATCTTAGACTTACGAGAGCTTTGTGAACTGGGGCCTGGTCTTAAGTCTTTGTAAGTCTAAAAAGTATGGCCCAAATGCTACTTTAGCTTTGTGAAACATGGCCCGGGTCTTTATTAAACTGGAATACTGTGACATGTTAATGCAAGTGTGTCCTTTTTGGAATTTGGTAAGGTAGTGAGTTAACACTGTGATAACATTAAACAGAACAGACGCTGGGCCTCTAACAGATGTCACCTGAAAAGATGTCTATGTACACAAGGGCATCTAATAGAGGAAACTATGTATTTGAAACAATATCTCCCAGTCATGATTCTTTCAGTCATGTCACATGTATTATTACGTGTATGATGACAAATGAATTGAGACACTATCCTTGACTCGTCAATCCCGAACAACTGCCTTGCTATGCTATAGCTGCCGTGACAGTTTGCCAGGTGATGACGGTAATTTTTCTCCATACACCTGAAGATGAACAGCTAAATGCTACTGGACCTGCGATGGTATGTATTAAAACTGAGCAAGTTTCTGTAGGTCGAACTCTGGGATGTCCAGTCCAAGCCATTGCAGAAGTTCAAAGTAGGAGAAAACGAACATCTTGGTAATATCCTGGGTGTGGTTCAACCCATGAGACTCCAGCTGAAGGTCACGGTTAAACTTGAGCCTTGCTTCCAGTTCAGCCTGACGACGAGCCATCTCCTCAGCCAATCGTTTTGCTTCTTCCAGAGCTCGCTGTGCCTCTTCTTCTCGTCGTTTCCTGGAGGAAGAGGTTGAAATATTTTATCCAAATCATTATTCAACAGAATAGGTAAATATTACTGAATTATCACCTGAAACCATGTTCAATTTGACCAAAAAACTGCATGTTCCTGAGTTATGTCCCCTTAGAACAGAACCTCAAGAAGATAGATGCCTTGATTGTCAAAAGTCATAATAATAGTTCACTCTAATTCATAAACTACTAAATTTATGACAGAGATATTTGATACTGTTTATAACATCAAATGTGATTCCCACAACAACTTCTCCAAGAGTTTGTTTGTTGTTTAGGCCAGACCAATTTTATTTCTTGTTTTACGGAATTTTGTCCTCAGAAAACCTAAAAGCAGGAGGGAAAAAAATAAATAATAAAATCACCAGTCAAAGTAATATTCCTTCTTAATACTTAATGTACGTTACTTTTGGCAATTTATGAAGTGTATATGGCCAAAAACAATCTAAAAACAAAATTTCTTGTATGTTTACATTTTTGGCCAATAAAAACATTAGGATTTTATTTTTTTGAGCGGGGAAAATTAATAAAAAAAATTCTTCTTATTCTTGAAAAAAATATGACAGGCAGATCAGTAAAACAAGAAATAATATTGGTCTGGCCTTAACGCTGAACTCAGCAATAATCCAGCAACATGCCAGTGGTCTTTAAATAATCGACTTAAGACTTCTCACCAGTGGCATTCAGACCAAACCTGGATACTGTTACTCCACCTAAATATTGAGGCAGCACAAACATCATTGAACATTAAATTCAGTGCCAAAGAGTGAGTAGTTAATAGAGCAGTTTTGAACAGTATTCCAGTGTTATTGTGTTAGCTTTATATGGGATTAAATCTGATAGTTTTTTAAATCTCAGAGTTTTTCCAATTTGATGAAACTCACATGGCTACGTACGTCACAAACCTAGTCACATAATCAGGAGAAACAGGGATTCGAACCCACAATCAAAGATTTCTTGCATGCCCAAGGGACATAACTCTGTAAGCTACTTCACCGCAGATGGCATGGCCACCTACACATCAAAGGAGGATAAGTATGTAACTTTGTTTGTCAGTAAGAAAGTATGATGACTTACTTTTCTTCCTCTTCCCTCTGTCGCCTTTGCTCTTCCTCCTCTTGTTTCTTGCGTTCATACTGAAGACGTTCCTGTTCAGCCATCTGGGACATCATCTCTTCCTCTTCTCTTCGACGCTCTTCTTCCTCTCTCTGCTTCTCCAACATGGCCTCTGTTGAACAGGAATAGGTCATTGTGAGATAATGCTAGACAAGTCTCATTAATTCTTTCCTATCTACCCATCTCCTCGCCACCATATCCTCTTGCTCTTCTACCCCATTCTTTCCACCATCTCTTCCCCATCTTTCTCATGGTCTCCTCACTAAACCTACCCACCATCTCCCCCTCCCCATCTCTCCTCACCCTCCTCATCATCTCCTCACCAAAGCTCCACCTCACCTATCCTCCTCTGTTCCTCCTCAGCCTGTTTCTTCTTCATTTCCTCCAGCTTCCTCTGGTATTCCTCCTTTGCTCTCTTCTCCCTCTCCAGCTCCATCTGCTTCCTCCTTTCCCGTTCAAGGGCTGCCTGATCCTCTTTCTTTCTCTCCTCCTCTTCCCGAAGTTTTCGCAGTCTGTGAAAAAAAGTTAATATTATTTGTGGCATGGGGCACAGCTGAACTATTCTTTTACCGGTACATACCATATCACATAATGCTCGCATCGTCAGATAATTTATATACACCTTCATCAATTCTTTATGTTTAACTTCTATTAGATTAAAGTAATCCACTGCTGACTGGTAAATACACTTGTAATCTCATTCAAAACTGAAGCCCCATCAAAATTTCTTAACTTTTACTCATCATATCCAAACTAATCTCTCATATCATACCTCCTCTCTTCATCTCTCCTCTTCCTCTCTTCTTCCATTTCATTCCTGAGCTGTTCTTGTCTGTCAGCCTCTTCTCTCTGCCGCCTCACCTCTTCCTCCTTCTCTTTCCTTCTCCGCTCCACTTCCTCTCGCTTCTTGGCCGCTGCTGCATTTCGCTTTGCCTGCCGTGCGTCTTTGTTGGATATCGGCTTGCGGTTGCCCCCCTGTGGTACATTATGTGTATGCCATGGTGTAGTAGGTTGATGTGTAACTATTGAGTAACATTGTTTAACATGGTAGTGGATGATATCTTATAGCAGACTAGTGAGTAACATTGTTATCATATGATAGTGTTTAACATGGTAGTGGATGATATCATATAGCAGACTATAAGTGAGTAACATTGTTATCATATGATAGTGTTTAACATGGTGATCATATGATAGTGTTTAACATGGTAGTATATGACATTGTATCACATGCCCAATGGGTCACCTATAACAACCTCACTACCCTTGAGATTTATTGGTGCCAAATTCAAGTTGAATTCTTCAAGTGAGTTGAATTTCAATGTCAAAGGTGGCAAACTGTAAAGGTTGTCCATACTATGAGTGGGATGCACACAACCCATGAATCTTTAGAGCACACCCTCAGATGCTTTGGCTATTAACCAACCGGAATTCTTCAAATTTATCAAAAGGGAAATAAGTGATTTTGAAAAATAAGTTGCGCGGCACGACACATTATTGTATGGCACTGTTGAGCATAGTTGTATGTAAGAGGTGTAACATAATGTAACCTTGAAATCATAATACTGCATTTCAATACTGTAATGCTACGCTGTAACAGTATTGAGTGAGTTGGGTTTTACACCACTTTTAGCAATATTCCAGCAATATCACGGCGGGGGACACCAGAAATGGGCTTCACAAATAGTACCCATGTGAGGAATCAAACCCGGGTCTTCAGCATGACGACTGAACGCTTTAACCACTAGGCTACCCCACTGCCCCGCTGTAACAGTAATAGTGAGTGAGTTTAGTTTTACGCCACACTCAGCAATATTCCAGCTATATGGCGGTGGTCTGTTTACGACAAGCATGGGTTACTGAAGATCAATTCTAACCCGGACCTTCACGGGTTGTAACAGTAATAGTGGGATTATTTCCTACACTACTTCACAAGGTAACATGCCCCCAGCTATAACTAATGAGTACATCTCACCTCGTCGTCGGGTAAGTCCTCGCCCTCCGATTCCACTTCAGCTACAGGCTCTGGTGGTGGCGGCGGGGGTTCACGGGGCAAAGGTGTTTGCTTCTTCATCTCGGGACTTTCTGACTGTTCCCGCACAAACACAAACTCCATGTCCTCGGACTTGTTATCAGGGGATGGTGCAATCTGAGACAAGAGGTTTCATATGGGAAGGGGGAGTTTAGCCAACAATATATCAATTATTAAATTTTATCAAACATAAATTCGAGGTCAAAAGAAACCATACATCCCAGCTGATTTTATATGTATGACTTTCAATTGATTATCTCAAGTTAGCGATGCTATGTCCAAAAACTTAACTCTCCTGAAGTTTAGTGAGCACACAAAGAATGCTTGAAAGTAGTTTTAAATTTTGTACATATTCTTGATTTAAAACTTTCAAAATAAAAAAAATAACAAACTGTTGTTTTAACGGATACCTCAGATGGCTTATCTTTGAAAATCAATAAATTGTTCAGGACTAATTTTGATTAATTTCTCACAAAAGCATTATAACAGTGAGGAGTTTACAGTGGTTTTTAGCAATACTCCAGCACTATCCCAGGGGACATGACAAATGGGCTTCACATAATGTACCCAGATGGGGAATCAAACCCAGGACTTCAGTGACGAAAATGCTTTAACCACAAGACTACCCCACTGTCCCCCCCATTATTAACAATTGTTCCATGGTTCATTTGTAAAACTGCCCTCAGCAATGTGAGGTCCCTTGATTTCCTTCAAATAATGAAGTAGCTTGTTGTCTCCACTTGGAGACAGGAAACACAGATTTTTGTACATTTTCTCAACAACAAAAAGAATGTGGTAATATAAAGAATAACCTGTCTGAATAAATTTGGAAAGTTCCTCACTAAGGTCCATTACATACTTACAGACTTCGTGCACATGCCAATGGACCAGAGCACATGCCAATGGACCAGAGCACACCAATGGACCAGAGCACATGCCGATGGACCAGAGCACATGCCAATGGACCAGAGCACATGCCAATGGACCAGAGCACATGCCAATGGACCAGAGCACATACCAATGGACCAGACAGTGTGTAATTCATCACTGCTCATAGCTTAGTCTCTGAACAAATACAAACCAACACTCACTTACACAAAGTGACCTGCACGCTGCAAATATAAGAGTTAAAACTGCCATAGTGCTAAAATTGTGGCACTGCGATAATACAACACATTATCCAATAGAAAGACACTGAATTCTATTTCTTCTGCCTATAGAATCCTGTACTTGGTCTGTCTCACAGTCCTTGAACTACATTATTTTCCCTTCTCCCCAGCCCTTTCTACAGAGCTAAAGCCCTAAAGGAAGCAAGTCTAGATTTCCCCAGGTTCTGAATCTGCTTCTCACTGGGCTCCTTTTCAATTTAAAAGGAATTATTTATTCTATCAAAATGTTATATATTCAGAGACTAAGTGTGAGTCTACCATGTACTCACAATCTCTTCTGGCTCGGGGAATCTCTCTTGGGGGTTTGTGGTTTGGGGGCTTCTACTGGGGGTGGAGATGGCGCCTTGGGGGGTGGGGCTTTCTCCACCTTCTCCTTCTTGACTTTTGTCTTCTTTTCCTTTTTCTTCTTCTCTTCTTTCTTGGGAGGAGCTGGCTTCTCTACCTTTGGCTTTGCTTTTGGTTTGCCTAGGAAGACCACAAATGTTGACATGAACATTGATGTAAGGGCAGCTATATGAAAAGTACATACACCTTCATGGCCACATAAAATTAGCAAAAATTTAAATATATTTGAATATTTATATATATTGTTATTTTACAAAAATAAATTAACATTTAACATGATGATAATGTATGATTTTTATACATATTTCATAATCACTGTTAAAACATGTCTTTTGAAGTGGATAATTCCATATATCAAGAATAATGTTTGTTATATAATATTTAATACACACATAGATGCAGCTGAAAAATATAATTACTTCAATTAAAACTTGGGAAAATGTTACATTCTATAAACAGACTTCAAGAGAGATATAGGACATTCTACCATGACAACTTATAATCCTGCATTCTGATTGGTCTGTCTGAAGTGTGGAACCTACAATCTAGGTGCCGACAACATTACTGCAAAAGAACATATGTTTATCCAGAAGGACTTCCCCAATTGGCAATTTTCAACTCTGATCTCAATTCAATAATGTTGCTAAACAATGTGTTGTCATTCTTACATTAATAACAGCAAATGCAAAATATTTATTGGAAAACTTGATAAACAAAATGTGTAAAATTCTTTTACAAGAATTTAAACCTTCTTTTATCCCTTTCAATCAACTAAAAGTGTCAAGTGCAACAGATACCATATCACTTATAATTTTTGACAGCCAAACAGTTCCGTGTTGTTTTCACATATCGTCATGATAGAAAGGAAATAAACCATGTTTTCATATTACAGGTTTTCACCCTTCATTTGATTTGATACCTGAAAATTTCTCAAATATGAAACCTCTAAACTGAAAACACACAAGGTTTATGTCCTAATCAAATTCAGTAATGGGGACAGATTTAAAGCGGATTATTGTTTCATGATACAGTCTGTTAGCAGCAGCCTGTATGTGATTAATTTTGGGCTAGAAAACCAGTGGTCGATAGCATGAGCACACATTCATAGGGGTCACAAAAATAACAATATGATTCCCTATTAATCTTTCTTTTACAAGCAGGGATACAACAGACCTATCCTGACTTGCAATCTTAACTAGCTCATCAACTGGGCTATGAGGTGAAAATAAAAAAAAATAAAAAAATAGCAGGCATTTTTCAGCAAGCAAGTATATGCAAACAAAACATATGGTTATAGAAAATACATTCTCACATCATATACAGAGAGTTGTATACATGTATAACATATATATTTACAAACCAATAAATGTAAATTGTCAGTTGGTTTATGAATGAAATACACAAGTGAGATTCAGTAGGGAATGTGTACATCGCACAAAGATATTTGTACTACATATTTCATAGGTTATATACAGATATTAGCTACGTGTGACATGTAATACAAAACAGTCATAGTCAGATACTTATTATAAGTCCATGTACAGGTACTGGCTGTATACAGCATTCAAGTTCTTTGTACTACATACTGTATATATCATATATACCACATACAGATATTCTGTTTTTAATTTATGGCTGCTGATTATTTCAAAGTGAGTGAGTGAGTTTAGTTTTATGCCACACTCAGCAATATTCCAGCTATATGGCGGCGGTCTGTAAATAATCGAGTCTGGACCAGACAATCCAGTGATCAACAGCATGAGCATCGATCTGCGCAATTGGGAATCGATGACATGTGTCAACCAAGTCAGCGAGCCTGACCACCCTCGATCCCGTTAGTCGCCTCTTACAACAAGCATGGGTTACTGAAGACCAATTCTAACCTGAACCTTCACGGGTCGATTATTTCAAACATAACTGTCCTTGGGTGTCATTTACCAGTTTTTCTTTTATCACTTCTTTGACAGTAATTGATAAACAGTCTGTTGAAAATCACAATATAATAATTCATAAAGCTTCTATACCAGCCTACAATTAGACTACATTAAGCTTGGTCAAAGCTGGACCAGTGAAATAACATTTTTTGTTTTCTCCAAGCCATGATTATGCACAATTCGGCTAGGTGGTAGGATATTAAAATATAACCTTTTAGACAACTCAGACACACTTTAACACTTTAATCATGTAATTGTGTTGAATAGCCATCAGATGATCAGAAAACTGCTTAATTGTTTATGAATATTTTACATCCTCTAAAGTCTCTTCATTCCCACATGAATATTAACGTCTTATTAAAGCAAGCATAAACACAAAAACCCAAACCAAAAGATGTCAAAACAATAGGGAGGAAAAGCAGACAGTTGATTGGTGATAATCATCCAATCAGAACCTGTCTCACCCTTCACATCTTTCTTTGCTGGTGGAGGTGGTATCTGAGAATAAAGACTGGACAGCTCCGACTTTTTCTCAACTCGACCTGATAATGTCAAAATTCAACCATCAACTTCAATACATGATTAAGTTTTAAATAAAAACAACCCTGGCTTTCCTACAAATAAAACAAAACAGGCATTATCAGTTTCAAAGGAAGAAGTATTCTACACTACACATATAATACATCAGTGCTACAAACTACTGACAAAAACAGATGATTAAATGATGACATGAATATTGGCATTCAACACGTCGAGTTTCCTACTCCATTTTCCCAACCCCATCAAGACCCTGGGCCCTTCCCATGATCACATCAGAACATGGTGAAATTTCCAGATTTCCTCTTTGAAGTTTTCATAGCATACACATTGTAATTAATTATTCAGGACGGTAACTCTGATAACGTAATGTTTAGCTGCCATTGTGACCAAACAATCCACAAAACATACCCACTACAGGGAGATCCAAAAGGAAGTGCACACTATTACCATGCAACCATACCACATGGTTGGTTGACATACATAGTGAAGGTGGGGTCTGCATGCCCCAACACCCTCGATATCTATCAGCAGTATTGTTCTATGTTCCATACAACCATTTCTCACCTAAGTCCTCTATGACTGTTTCTGGTTTTGTCGGAGTTGTTGCCCTTGTTTCTATCTTCACAGGTGGTTGAACTGTTACAACATGCCATGTGTGCAAATACCTTTCCTTATTTTATGCAAATTCATTGAATATTTGAACTATTACTAGAACTGTTTAATACAGTAGCTCATCACAATGACACACCATTCAATATGGAAATAAAATAAATTACAAAGTATTTAAACTGATCTTAAACCACATGAAAGGTACATGAGACAATATTGTTAATAATTCTTTTTAAAAAAAATGGCATTGTTTAGTCAAGTTCAGATGTAATTTATACATTTTTTTGGTCAGAATAAAAAGAATTTAACATTTTCTGAAGCAGTAATAAATATATACAGAACAAAATGTTGAGATGATAGCAGACATACCATCTAAATATTTTTGTTTGCAATTTTACTTTATGGAAAATATACCAAAGTTTAAACATAAATTTAAAAATTTGTTAGGCATAAATAACAAGAAAGTCCAAATATCACAAATTCAATCTCTCTTGTAGGTAACACCCAAAATAGACTTCTGCATATTAGTAGCTCAGTATGGGATCTCACAAAAACAACATACAACAGGGACCGCACATTTATATATATTATATACTTATGGCCAAACTCATAATTAAATATACATGATGTAAGTTCACCATAAGACACACAGTATCACTTTAAATGTATCACTAGATTGCGTCATGATGAGGAGTTAACACATCCCAAGGCACAACATATACAAAAAAACCCAATTTCACACCCCCATATTAATCCAGCATAAAAGTATTCTGTCACAATCATTTTAAATTTGGATTGTTTTGTTTGTTGTTTAAGTCTGCACTCAGGGATATTTCAGTATTTCATCCATATCACAAAGGATTGTGCATGGGTCTGGTTGCTGACATGAGCAATGGTCAATGTCACAGTGGTACTTTGAAATTATATCAACCATGTCCCCAATTCGGAACACATGTAAATGGTCAGCCAAGTCCCCAATTCCTAATGCACTTAAATGTTCAACCAAGTACCCAATTCTGAATGCACTTTAATGTTTAACCAAGTCCCCAATTCAGAATGCACTTAAATGTTCAACCAAGTCCCCAATTCTCAATGCACTTAAATGTTCAACCAAGTCCCCAATTCTCAATGCACTTAAATGTTCAACCAAGTCCCCAATTCTGAATGCACTTAAATGTTCAACCAAGTCCCCAATTCTGAATGCACTTAAATGTTCAACCAAGTCCCCAATTCTGAATGCACTTAAATGTTCAACCAAGTCCCCAATTCTGAATGCACTTAAATGTTCAACCAAGTCCCCAATTCTGAATGCACTTAAATGTTCAACCAAGTCCCCAATTCTGAATGCACTCCCCAATTCTCAACTTAAATGTTCAACCAAGTCCCCAATTCTCAATGCACTTAAATGTTTAACCAAGTCCCCAATTCTCAATGCACTTAAATGTTCAACCAAGTCCCCAATTCTCAATGCACTTAAATGTTCAACCTAATTCTCAATGTCCCAAATTCTGAATGCACTTAAATGTTCAACCAAGTCCCCAATTCTGCAATGCACTTAAATGTTCAACCAAGTCCCCAATTCTGAATGCACTCAACCAAGTCCCCAATTCTGAATGCACTTAAATGTTCAACCAAGTCCCCAATTCTGAATGCACTTAAATGTTCAACCAAGTCCCCAATTCAATGCACTTAAATGTTCACCCAAGTCCCAAATTCTGAATGCACTTAAATGTTCAACCAAGTCCCCAATTCTGAATGCACTTAAATGTTCAACCAAGTCCCCAATTCTGAATGCACTTAAATGATGCTGAGGACCCATTCTTACCCAGAATCATCATGTGGGTTAATATTTTGAAACATCAATAAATCTGAAAACAATCCTCATATCATACAGCACACTATTTTAGTTGTCGATATGCGATTTCACTGCAAACCTCACCACTAATCATTGCTGGTTTGGGAGGAAGGGGAGACAACTCTTCTGCAGGAAGTGGCAGTTGAACAGGAAGTGGAACATTTACCTCAGCAGCTATTGGTTCTACAACCTCCTCTATTTTGACATATACCAAACAATAAACATATGTATCAGTTTCAGGATGGGGAGACAACTCTTCTGAAAGGAGTACTAGCAGTAGGAGAGGAAGACAATACTTCTGTAACAGGTGAGTAGTTGTGGTAAGATTGGGAGCCAACACCTTTGTAAGAAGATGAACTTCCCTTCATCATGCATCAGAAATATTTACAGTAAATATAAGACTCGATTTATAATATTCATATTCTTCAGTCATATAACTTCAGGATAAAACACGGAACTGTCATCAAAGTACAGAAAAATACAGTAAACATGTAACAGTCGTAAATCTCATCATTGGAAGTAGTATTTTCATGCACTTAATCATGACACTATCTATATTCTATATTACATATATTCAGCATGATCCCACCCTGAAAACTGAGGCTGACTTGAAACAGTTCTCACAGCAAGTGAAATACCGGTACTGATTACACACGTTACACATAGATATTGTTACATCAAACTGTGACCATCCATGCAGATCGTGTTGGATCCATGTTCATACACTTTAAGTATATACACTGTAAAACATGTACACTCCATTGTTAAAGGTATGTACAGACTGAAATAACACATCAGAGCAAACCATGCAATAATTTAGTGCACTTTTATGTCTTCTCAGTGATGTCAAACCATCTCCACACACATCAAACAGGTGCAACATTACAACATGTACAAGGCTACCATGGCTATCAGGGCTGTCAGCTCAGGCCACCAGTTCTCTTCCTCCAACAGACCTCTCTGTTGACTTGTCTATTAAACTGGTACAGTACACATCCTAAATAACTTCCTATCAAAGACTTGTGGTCCTCTTCTGTCTTTATATGATGACCCAGTACTTATCATAAAAACATGTGCCCATGAGAGTCTCTTCTGATCCAAATACAGTGTTGTCAATGACCTTTCTGATTCAGATACACTACTTATCAGAAATATATGCCCATGAGAGACTTCTCTGTAGAGATACTGTCTCTCATGGGCTGTCTCTCATGACTGAAATACGATACTTGTCCAAATGATGTGCCCATAAGTCTTCTCTGATCCAGATACAGTGTTGTCAATGATCACCTTTCCGATACAGTACTTATCAGAAACATGTGCCCGTGTGAAACTTCTCTGTCAAGATGCGGTGCTGTCCACAAAGACTTTTACTTTTCAGAGGCTGCCTCTGTGGTGCAGTGGACAGAGAGTCTGCAGCTCAGCTAGTGGCTCCATCCCCTCTTGTCATGCCATAACATGTTTAAAAAATGGTGCTTGTTGTCACCATGTCTGGAACTTGGCGCGTTAACAGGATAAAATAATGATTGGTTGGATCAGAATGAGTTTACTGTATCTGAAAGGGCTATCCATGTTTAAGTGTGGCATGGATCTCAATGGACTAGTGCTATCAAACTGGCTATCAAATTAAACTCCATAACATGTCACCTTCTGGTACAGATACATTTCTTATCAGAAACAAGTGCCCACAATAGACATCTCTCTTTTTCAGACACAAAACCTTCTACAGCATGTACCAAAACAGATTTAATTTAGCTCAGAATCAGTGCTTACAAACTGTGCCTTTCACACTCGCTACTGCCCTGTTTGAGTGCTTTCAATACCTTGTGCTCACAGATAAACCACAGGTGCAGAGTCAAACCATCAGTCAAACCAACACACCACACCTCATATCTCTCACCCTTGCTTTCATCAACCTTCTTAGGTTCTGGTTTGGTTGTTTTGGCTCCTTTTTGGCTTCAGGTTCCTTTTTAACGGAGGAAGCTGCTTTTTAGGATTTGGTGGCGCTGGTTGGGGTTTTGGTGGCGCTGGTTGGGGTTTTGGTGGCTCCTTTTTGGGTGGAGGTTCTGGCTTTGGTTTTGGCGGTAAAGGTGGGTCTTGTTTTTTTGGAGGAGATTCGTTTTTTGGCTGTGGAACAGGTGCCTTCTGTTTTGGAGGGTCTGGTGGAATATCTAACTTAGTGGCCACTGTGATGTTGAAAATCAAAAATCAAAATTCAGAAAGAAGTATGTTCTAAAAGCATAATCTGGTTCTTTTCTGTTGTTTAGAGATGTGGTTAGAATGTTTGGGTGGTTCTGTAGAAAACAATGAATATGAGCACTTCATGAGATACTCTTCAAAGGGTAAGAATTCACACACTGCCTACCTTCTTGTGGAGATTCCTGTTCAAGCTTTGGTGGTTCTGGAGGGGTAACAACTGCCGGTTCTGTCTTTTCTTGCACTTGAGATTACATACATTGAAACTTTACTGTGATTTATGACAACAGAAATGAAAAGAAGAAACCGTTTTGATCACACTGTCATCAGTCCGATCCAAATATTGGTACTTTCTTCACAATTTTGTGCTTACTGATTAAAATGTTTCATAATCACATTTTAAATATTCATTGACAGTATGCAATAATGAATAGGGTAGATTTACATGATAATGTAAAATCATTTTTTATTATCATTAAATATTCTCAGTTCATTTATTTTTCAGTTATTCAGAGTAATAACTGGTCCAATGGTCAGTATACAGTCAATATGAGTGAGTGAGGGAGTTATTTGCTATGCCACGTTCAACAGTATTGCAGTCATGGTATGTCAGAGCGGGAGAAAAGTGACGCAGTTCTTAGACATTTACCACAGTGCTGAAACCCACAAACAAAGGTATGATGGTGGGATATCCAGAAACAAAAAAAGCAAACTGGGATTCAAACCCACATAGTTTCCTGACACGTCAAGGGGAAGCAATTCTGCAGAGTAAATTGTTCCTGCTTAGACAGGTTGGCCACCCCATCTGACAATGTGAAGGTAAACACCTCACCCAACCTACTGAATGGTATTCCATATCAGACAAACCAATCCAGCTGATTGGCTAACAGTAACCTAAGATGTACCGTATGACCACTGGACCTTGTTATAACACTGAGAGGCTTGGAGTGAGATCACAGGCCAAGCTGAGGGAAGGGAGAGATTAAACACGAGTGAGTTAATTGGGGACGATGACACCTCAGTCTGTTAGTAAGCAAATTAACACTGTGAAACCTTGTCAAACATGTTGATCTGACAGTTTGGTGTATTTCTATTATTTTTAATCTTTAGTTAAATATCATAGTTACCAGATAAATAATTTCATGGTTTTACAGATGATAATGCTCTAAACTTTGCAAGAGTAAAAGATTTTATTTTGTCAATAAATATGTTCTTCATCACATTACATTTAAACCCTGCTTTGAAGGAATTTCAACATATCATTTATTTACAAATTTTGTTCTGCAAGCCACAGGGCATGGATAGAAGTTAAGTTCTTGAGAATCAGCAAGGCTGGTTGTGTCAATGGTCAATGTATTGGCAATGGAGACCGTAACATGCAGAAATAGAGATTGCAACATGCACTGGTAGATTTTGTCACATGCACTGACAGAGACTGCCTGCCCAATGCATGGTAGAGAAAGTATCATGCACTGACAGAGACTGCCTGCCCAATGCATGGTAGAGAAAGTATCATGCACTGACAGAGACTGCCTGCCCAATGCATGCTAGAGAAAGTAACATGCAGTAATAGAGATTGTAACATGCACTGGTAGAGATTTGTAGATGACATGCACAGGGGAGAACCAAACATCAGTTAGTAATCTTCAATGCTGAACATGCATCCAGAGAACCTATACCCATCAAATAATGATATATCTCCATGCAATTTAATATACCTGTAACATATTTTCAGAATCTGTTTTTTTACAACATGGAGTGAAATATAACATCCCTATCAAAAGTGGACATGTACGCTTAGAGAAACCTCATTAATTCAATATATCATACAGGTAGGTATAATCTTAGTATTATACCATAGTTACAGCAACGAGATCTATCTATCTGGTTCTACTAATCTGATATATATACATGGTCACTTAATGCTTTTCATCAGTTCACTTAATTCTGGATGCATGTTTGAGGATGTGCAGAGGGCTTATGACATGATATGTCCCCATGAATACCTGTCATGAGCTGGGTCTAACACTACCTTTAATAGTATTCTAATTATATCCCCTCATGTTCGCTAAAATGTTGGGGAGTAATTCTGATGTGATTGAGATCTCAGGTTGGTTGGTTGGTTTTTAATGCCAGGTTGCAGGTTGCAGCAATATTCCAGCTATATTACAGTGGTCTGTAAATAATCGAGTCTGGACCAGACAATCCTGTGACCAACAGCATGAGCATCGATCTACGCAATGGGGAAACGATGACATGTGTCAACCATCCTGTTAGTCGTTTTTTTACGACAAGCATGGGCTGCTGAAGACCAATTTTAACCCAGATCTTCATGGGTATATTGAGACCTCAGATGTTTACCACTTAATAAACCTCACAAGTATGGGTTTGGTGGAGATGAACCATGATTTGAACCCACGATCATAGGGTGCTTGTATGTCCAAGGGAGATAACTCTGCACAGTAATTTGTGCTGCCTTTGACAACCGGGCCATCATGTCCCAAATTATAAATGTAGGAAAATGTTAAAAATACTTATGTCACTTTACACTTTAAAGCCATTTTTTTTCACTTGGAATGTTTAAATTCATTTATGAGACAAACCGGCGAACCCTCCCTCTGCACACCCTCACATATTTCTGTGTAGTAATTGTAACAGTCACACTGGCACACCACTCTGAAGCCTCACTTTTAGGTGGGGATGGTTTTGGTGGGGGTGGGGGATCGACGGGGCCATACAGTTTCTCCAGCTCCTTCTTGTCTTCCACTTTACCTGTATACACACAACTGCTGAATCAGCAAAATACACTCAACAAATGTACACTATGACAAACTCAGAGTAATTCTGTTTCATATTTTTCATTTTTTCCACATGTATATTGCCAGTTTAATCTTGCCAGTCTCAACGAAAACGGCTTCTTTATACTGAATGTATTTTTTTCAATTACACATTATTACATTTTTCAACTGAAATCCCTCATTGATTATTTGCACTTTAGAGGGTTTTCAATGAATGACTGAAATTATCTGATGCCTCTCGACCTGGAATCCATCTTGAGTGCATCTTGGTGACCTTTGACCTATGACATTTGCTAAACTAAGACGGTTATGATGGAGCACAGCAAGCTTGTGTACAGCAGCAATCTGATCACAGAAAATGGTTTATTAGTGCCAGCATTGGTCATCTCAACAATCTGAAAAGTATTCTGAAAATGACAAAATGAAGATATTGGACCTGAAAGTGAAAACAAAACTGTGAAGAAGATGTAGGCATAAATATTCTAAATATAACATTTAAATATACTACCACTCCTCTATCAACACACGTTTTAGTATAATGTAAACATCTACGTTTCTAATCTTTAAGAGACTGTGCATCATTACTGGGGTGGGTGGGTGAGAGGGAATGAGGGGAAGGGTCACCAAACAACAAGACGATCTCTAGGGGAGGGCCATTAAAAACGTTTCATTGTCACCAAATGGAGATGAAAAAATAATTTAATGTGCTTTTTCATTTTGTCCTTTTAGGTAGGGTCATGAAAAGTATAAAAGGACGTAGGGTCATCATAAAGTTTGACAAACACTGGCGGAGAGGCATCATTTTAGTGCAACAAAAAACCTCTCACCCACCCACTGTTGTAAAAAATGACTCACCCCTAATGTCATAGTTTGTTACAAAATCAATTTTAATATTCAGTTACAAAACTGTTATTGCTACAAGGTGTTATTCCAAACTACACAGTCTTGTATGGTAACTCAAAATGTGATGATGATCAATTATCAAAATCCAGAACACCGAGGTACAAGAAGACAAATCAGTTTCCTGCTAAGAGATAATAATAATAATAATAAGGGTACTTTTATTGCGCAATACTCCATACCATAAAGGGGCATGCTCAAAGCGCACACAAATGTTTAAAAACAAACACATCAAAAGTCACATGAACAATGGCTACCAAATGTTTCTCACCAACAACAAACTCCTCTCTGTCCTCAATGGACACCGGTTTCTTCTTCTTGGTGCCCTTAGAGTCGTCGGTCTTCTGAGATGATTTAGACACACCAGTCTTGGTGCTGCCATGTTCACTGGTGGCAGATTTTAATGGAGTTATCTCCCTTTGCGTGTGGTTTGGGAATGTCAGCAGCAGGGGAGACAACAGCAGGGGAGACAACTTCGGGTGTCTTCTGAAAGTACACAAATTCCGGTATATAGAAGACAAGCATAATGGCCTCTCATATAGTTTCAGGTATATTGATCGGGACATGGACCTTCTGGTTTGTTCAATTTAGATGGACCTTCTGTTTTGTTCAATTTAAATGGACCTTCTGTTTTGTTCGATTTAGGTGGACCTTCTGTTTTGTTCAATTTAGATGGATCTTCTGTTTTGTTCAATTTAATGGTTTCTTACCACACATTTGTCAACTTCATGCAGCATCCGGAACAGGCCTCAACAGGGCCCAAGGCACACCATACAAAAAATGGATTGGCACCCTCTGTCAACCATTTGGGTCATAACGCCATTGAAGCTGTACAGCCATCAATGACTGCAATGCTGAGATGTCTGTGTCTCTTACAATCTCATACATGCAGAGCTCATGGATGGTGTGAGTGAGTGATAGGGGTTTTGTTCTGTGGTCCAGTGAACAATACTGTTTCCCTTACCAATTATAGCATGGATTTGTACATTTAGGTCATTGATTCAAGGACTTTTACCTAACCAATTATAGCATGGATTAGTACATTTAGGTCATTGATCCAAGGACTTTTCCGTAACCAATTAAGGCATGGATTAGTACATTTAGGTCATTGATCCAAGGACTTTTCCGTAACCAATTATAGCATGGATTTGTACATTTAGGTCATTGATCCAAAGACTTTTCCGTAACCAATTATAGCAAGGATTTGTACATTTAGGTCATTGATCCAAGGACTTTTCTGTAACCAATTATAGCATGGATTAGTACATTTAGGTCAATGATCCAAGGACTTTTCCGTAACCAATTATAGCATGGATTTGTACATTTAGGTCATTGATCCAAAGACTTTTCCGTAACCAATTATAGCAAGGATTTGTACATTTAGGTCATTGATCCAAGGACTTTTCTGTAACCAATTATAGCATGGATTAGTACATTTAGGTCATTGATCCAAGGACTTTTCCGTAACCAATTATAGCATGGATTTGTACATTTAGGTCATTGATCCAAAGACTTTTCCGTAACCAATTATAGCAAGGATTTGTACATTTAGGTCATTGATCCAAGGACTTTTCTGTAACCAATTATAACATGGATTAGTACATTTAGGTCATTGATCCAAGGACTTTTCCGTAACCAATTATAGCATGGATTTGTACATTAGGTCATTGATTCAAGGTCTTTTCCCTAACCAATTATAGCATGGATTTGTACATTAGGTCATTGATCCAAAGGACTTTTACCTAACCAATTATAGCATGGATTTGTACATTTAGGTCATTGATTCAAGGTCTTTTCCCTAACCAATTATAGCATGGATTTGTACATTAGGTCATTGATCCAAAGGACTTTTACCTAACCAATTATAGCATGGATTTGTACATTTAGGTCATTGATCCAAGGACTTTTTGAACTGACTGACCAGTGACAATAAATCTGTTATGTGACAGATTGACTCATAACATGGAAGAATTGTATGTTCCTTAACTTATTTTGAGTAGTATATATCAACCTTATAAATCATAATGTCCACATACCTCTACTATTTGCTTCACAGCCTGCATGAAATCATCCTCTGCAGGTACATCTGATGCCTTCCTCACTGACTTCCTCACGCTTTTTGAGTAGTATATATCTTGTCTCCTCTACCCTCCATCCACGATGGACGAGAGTGCTTTGAGCTGCCTTTTGACCGTCGGTCAGGTTCTATCAGGTCGCCAGGTTCTGGCACTCCATAGCTGATGACGTCAACATCTCCGACATCCTTGACAGATGCTCTGTCTGATGGGATTGAGATGGTAGGTTTGCTCTCCTCATCCCCTCCTGTAAGTAGAGGGTTAAGATGACATCAGATTGTTTGTTCCATTCTTTGTTTCTCAGAAATATTCCAGCTATTTTGTGTGTTCATGGGTACGTGCATGCCTGAGTGTGGTGTCAGGGGGTTGTGTCAACTAATTTCTACCACCCAATCCATTTGGTTGCCTGTTACGACCAGCATAGGTTACAAAGGGACCTATTCTAACCTGGAGAGAGTTAGTTTTTTGGTTTTACACCGCTTTTAGCAATATTCCAACAATATCACGGTGGGGGAACACCAGAAATGGGCTTCACACAATTAAGCTATGTAGGGGAGCAAACCTGGGTCTTCGGTGTCACGAGCAAAAGTTTTAACCACTAGGTTCCCCAACGCTACCCACCCTGGACCCCATCATTGGTCAGAGTAAAGTGTAAAATGTGTCACGTGAGGGGTTCATGTGGAGTTTAAAATCGTGTTTGTTTCTTGTTCAACGTCATGTTTGGCAGTTTTCCAGCTACATGACATGTGGTCTGTAAGTTGGGACCAGCCAATCTAGTGATTGACGTCATGAGCATGCAATTGGGATATGATGAAACGCATCAACCAGGTCAACAATTCTGACCACCAAATCCCATTAGTCGCCTCTAACAACGCAAATAGGTTGCTGAAGACCCATTCTAAACTGGATCTTCATGGGTGTGAGTTTTAAGCCTGAATGGATCACATGTAACAAATATATCATGACAACATTTTAGATTTGGTTACAATTAAATCTATGTGATCACCATCCTATTTCCTTCATGGTAAATTGAAGTGTGATCATGTTTATGTTTATGGAGAAAAATGAGAAAACCAATTTGCCTTACCTGGTGATACAAAGAGATGTCCTTCCTTAACACCTCCCATGGCCTTAGAGAGCTGACTCTTGGACCTGAGCGTGTTTTTCCCACTCTCCTCATCCTTGACCATCTCAATGTCCTCGGGGCTCACAGAGTTCTTGGCCAGCGCCTCCAGCAGCTCAGGGCTGATCTCTGCATCAGGTGGAAAGGCATCCGGGGTCAGACCTGCTGCCGTGGCAACTGCAACATGGAGGTCAAGGATGGATGTGTGTTTTTTTCTAGCAACATTCCAGCAATCATGTCCAGCAGGGATTTTGAGAAAATATAGATCATAGCTTGTATATTTCTTCATATTTGAGAAAATATAGATCATGTTGTACTCATGCGTGAAGTGTGACGTAGGTCATCTGCATGATAAGCAAACAGTTTATCTGCTAGGCCACTCCAACGCCTGAGAATTCAGATATTAAGACATTGCTCAGAATCTTGAGTGAGTGAGTGAGTGAGTGGTTTTATTCCGCTTTTAGCAATATCCCAGCAATATCACGGCTGGGGACACTAGAAATGGGCTTCACACATTGTACCCATGTGGGGAATGAAACCTTCGGGTCTTCAGCGTCACGAGTGAATGCTTTAACCACTAGGCTACCCCACCGCCCTGCTAAAGATCTTGTGTGGAATGTGGGAGTATGCCACAGATCATCAATGGTGATGTCTATGTTAGTGAAATCACTTTTTTGTATTTGCTCTATGAATTTTTACCTGCAGTTGTAAGATTGCGGCGGATCTCTTCCCGATATTCTGCAGCTGTAGGATCAGCACTCGTTGTCCGATGTTTCTTCATAATCTGTTCTATAGCATCCTGGGAAGGTTGTAATGAAAGAAAGATTTATTATTCAGTGTTTGGACTACATCATTCAAGTTGGTTGACACTAGCCAGTCTCACCAAGGATAGTCCAGTTATGTTCAGTCAAAAGCCAGTCACAAAAAGATTACAAATATCTCAGCAAGAATGAGAAAATTAATTACTGTACATAATGAAGCTTGTGGTCAAAACTGTAATAAATGCAACAAGCTGAAGTTTACTATTAACAGAATATGTATGCAGAATATATATGGCAGGATATATAAGACAGAATAAAGAGTAGATAATTTATAGAAGCATTATACATGTATAGAACAGAATATATATGACAGGATATACAGGACAGAATATAGAGCCGAGAAAATTTAAGGAGCAATATATAGGGAATAATATATATCTTAAACATAACAAAAGCCCACATTGAATTATTAAATTTGTTAGAAGTATTGAAATGATTATAGTTTGAAACTAATACATGCGAAGGAAACTGTCATCAAGAATGAGTGAGTGAGTTCATATTTAACGTCACATCGGCAATATCTCAGCCATATCGTGACGACATCAAGAATGAAATAATTAAGATGTTAGTGTGTACAGATGTTAATCATATCTATAAGGCTTGTCAATTAGGAAGATGGCCTTAGCGTATGAATCTCAAAATATCCACTGTAGCATTGTCCTCATATATTCTGTATGACATCATGACCAAGTCGTTATAGCTTTAAAGTCAAGCAGGCAGTTCTTTTGAAATCTAATGTAAAAAATATATATCAAAATGTTTCACTGTTCAACCTGCCACCTCAAATGCATGCAGTTAGAGACTGCAGTGAAAATATCGAACTAAAGTGCATCAAAGAAATCACAAACACTCACACTGTGCTCATTCAGCCTCCATTCTGGTAAAGGGAGGTAAGTACCGTATGATAGTAATCATTCACCAGATGACCAGATGCCATTGAATATATATACGACTCAATAGAAGATAAAGAACACTTAATTTATTCATGCTACTATAGTAAATCTGTAAATGTTCCTTAACTTATATTGAGTAGTATATTTGATTATTGATAAATTTATCATGGAAGTAGAAGTGAATACATAAATGCCAAATGATGACCTGTTAAACGACACATCAAAATCAGGATGTTGACATCATGACGACAGAACTCGATAGCTTAATTGCTTATAATTATGATGAAAATAGACAGTGAATTCACAGAATAAAATCTTTTAGATGGCTTAATAAATGGTTTAATTGAAACAGTTTTTTCAATATATATAATGTGTTTATTAATTGTGTCGAGATAATATATAATGGTTTATTCAAAATTAGCCGATACCCAAAAGAATTATTTAAATAATTTGTTAGTTACTTTAAAAGTATTTTGGAAATTAGACCATGTTCATATATTATTTAAAAAACACAAGCCATAAATAAGTGTCACCAAATCCTCTATTAATGAACCTGATCATCAGAATGTACCAGAATGGAGGCTGTGAAACAACAGATGTGATTGGTGCATTATTGACCAATCACACGACATGTATCTTACAGTGTTGGTTGGTTCCTGCACAGACTGACTGCGAGAAATATCCCGGGTAGGGTGACGATCGGCCCACAATGATGCAGCTTGCTAAATTACAATTAGGAAGCGGTTAACTACAAAACTAGGCACTAAAAACATCTGAAACAGAGATCGGCTATAAACATATTGTATGTAATGTAGGTTTCTAAAAATGATATGAATTCATTAGTAAATTCTTTCTACTCAAGTACTAATATGTATGTGTACATACTACCAATATATTCTACCGATTTTCAATATAGAACTGTCTATTAAATCTAAATTACATTATTCTCAGTCAACATTTCTCCAGACCTCGACTAGCCTAAAAAGAACAACATACTAAACTATACATCTGAAAAGAGATCAGCTATCAACATACAGTACGCAAAGTTCTAAAACTTATATCACTTCATTAGTAAATTTGTTCCATCCATGTACTAATATACGTATACTACCAAACTATCATTCAAACTGTCTATTTAACACTAGATTACAATATTTTATCATTTCTCTAGATCTAAACTAGCCAAAACAGAATGACATAATACTAAACTATACAGTCATATCAAGATCTTTACAAGACTAGTTAATCTTTAACTTCTTTTAACTAGTATACACTGGAGTCAAAGATACTAGCTATTGTAAACCAAACAACATTCCAGCTATATGATGGACCAGATAATCCACTGATTCCAGCTATATGATGGACCAGATGTATCGATCTATGCAATTGGGATACCATTACATCCAACAACCTTGTTGCTGAAATCAATTCTAACACAATTCTGTTCCTTGGAATAGTGCCTGCTTCTTTTACTACCCACCCTGATGTCCGTCTCGAGATTGTGACCCGCCTCCGACTGACTCAGGACGCTCTGAGCAATCTTCTGAGCATGCTCAGTGAGAGCATCCACTAACAGCTGCTCAGAAGCGGAGGATTCTGAAACACAAGTAACATGTTATATCAGGGCAACAATCCAACTGGCAGTAACATTTGTCAATAAACCTTTATACACAGACACAACATGAAAACATTTAGTAGAATTTGGGAAACACTTTCAGAGAACTGATGAAAAACAAAGAAAGTGATGTGTACTAGTGAAGCCCGAAGGCCTGTAGTGAGTGAGTGAGTTTGCTTTTATGCCGCTTTTAGCAATATTCCAGCAACATCACATCGGGGGACACCAGAAATGGGCTCACATATTGATTGAAATTCGGTTTTCGGTGTGACGAGCGAACGCTTTAACCACTAGGCTAACAAGAACAACAACACCCCCCACCCCCACCCCCAAAGGCCTATAACAGCAATGATGTTGTTTGAATCCTCATACAAGTTGTCCTAGTAACCTGGACATAAGCTACAAGTAACTAATACTTACCTTGAGTCAAAATCAGCTATATGTCTTTTTAAAGTGTTATGGTATAGTATAACCAATGTATATTGGAGAACAGCTTTAATATAAATTTAATATATTGTTGAAATTCTACAAAGATCTTGTCAAAACCTCTGGTTACAATAACAACCTTCATAGGCTTTCTTCTTAAGTTGCTGTGACATGGATAAATAAATCACATACATGAATATCATAATGGTCACAACACTGCTAATGAACATTGAATAATGTTCCGTCACTTAATGTAATGTTTTTTTGAAAAGGCAATTTTTTTATCATTGTTCATATGTAGTATGAACAAGTGATATACTCACTCATATTTAGTCATTACCAACATTTTTTTGTCATTACCAACATTTTGTAAAAAACAAATCATATCTATAAAAATGTAAACTTTTGAATTCATAATGTGATACATTGGATTGAATTACATGTATGCTTGCATGCACAAAATTAGCAAATACTTTTTAAATGTTCATTCATGCAATAGTTATGTAAGTATTCATAAAAATACATCGGAATAATATATACACACACTTGGTTACAACCAGCACCATCACACGTTAGTTGTAAAACGAAATCAACCTTGCATGCAGTTAAATTAGCCCAGTCCCTCAAGTGGGAAGAAAACATTATATGTCACTTGGATACATCCAGGCTTACATCAATGATGTAGAGTTCTCCAGGTACTCTTATGAAAACTCAAGACATGATGTGAAAATCATGTAATCTAATACCCTGTCTTAGCTCTTCCATCTTGTATCTCTCTCCTGTTCATAGTTAGTGCATGTGACTGTACATCAGACTGGAGTGGGTGAATTTAGTTTTACGCTGCACTCAGCAATATTCCAGCTATATAGCGGTGGTCTGTAAAAAACTGAGTCTGGACCAGACAATCCAGTGATCAACAGCATGAGCATCGATATACACAATTGGGACACGATGACATGTGTCAACCAAGTCAGCGAGCCTGACCACCCGATCCCGTTAGTCGCCTCTTACAACAAGCATGGGTTACTGAAGACCAATTCTAAGCCGGATCTTCTAAGGTACATCAGACTGGACTGACTGACTGAGTTTGGTTTTACGCTTTTTAGCAATATTCCAGCAACATCACGGCAGGGGGACACCAGAAATGGGCTTCACACATTGTACCCATGTGGGGATTCGAACCCGGGTCTTCAGCGTGACGAGCCAACGCTTTAACCATTAGGCTACCCCACCGCCCCACATCAGACTGGAGGTCACTAATGATCAGATTGTGGATGTTTGTGATGCATAAGTTCCTCTTATACTGACTGGGCACCTGGCCCAGCCTAGATTTTTCGAGCTTTAGTTAGACTTTTACTCAAATTTGAGAAAACACAGGAAAATCTTTCCCAGGCTGAAATCGATAAGATGGTTTGGTGGATAGTTAATGTTAATGTATGGCACTGTTTCTATCTTAACTCAGTTTGAAATTTGAGTAAAACTTAAGCCCTGGTTCCTAGTTCATAGTTTTATGATACTGCCTTGGGTCAAGCTCAGCAGTTAATGAGAACTATTTTTGGTCTACATACCTGTTGATGGTTTTATCAGAGTGAATGAGTATGGTTTTAGGCTGTTTTTAGAAATATCTCAGCAATATCATGGCAGGGGACATCAGAAATGGGCTTCACACATTGTACCCATGTGGGGAGTGTTCTGTGTGATGTGCAATACTTTAACCACTGTACTACCCCACTGCACTCAGTTTTGTCAGAAACAAGATCATTTTAAATAGGGACATTGTTATAACTTTAATCGTCTTGACCAAGGTCACAACATCCTTGAATCTGTTCTGGTGATTACAGTGGTTTTGAGTGCGTAAGAGAACCATGGAAGCACTGGTTCTTGTTGCATATTTAAGTATCTATGACAGCACGTTATCTGTTTAACCTGAAAAAGAATGATCATATGCTAATTGTCCAACAGTCAAGGAGAGGAAGTGAAGAAGAGTGAGTGCTGATCTGACACCCAAGATGTGCAATAAAAGAAACAAGTTCAATCATTGGAGGTGGTAACATGCAAAGCAATGATGTGCAACCATTCAGAACGTGCAATAACCGAACTTCAATTTAACCTTCATCAATCCTGGATACTGTTGACCTTGATGACCTCAGTGACCTGACTGACCTTGTCCTGGTCCGAGGTGAGGCTGGCACAGAGGGCAGAAACACCTGCTCACCGGTCACCTGTAAGGAGCCACTGAGATGGGATTCTCCTGATAAAATCCTTGAGTTCTTTTCAGTTGATTGAGACTGTGGCCTTGACATTGACTGACTGGGTGCTTTACCATCATTTTGTCCGTCGCTGTCATCCCTCCCAGACACAACCGTGTCGTCTGCCCATGCTGCTGACACAATATCACAGTCCTCAGCGGTGGGACTTTCACAACCTGAAAGATTCAGAGGAGGGAGCTTCTCTTTCAGGTCAGACCCGTTTTTTGGATTGGAAGATTTTGATGAGGCTGCTGAACTGTTCCGTCCTTTAACGGAGAGCAGATTTTCCTTACTGCCATCTTGTAAACTACTTTCTGTTTCCTCCATCATCTGTGTCACACTCTTCCTTCTGTCACTGGACCTGCTCCTGTCTGTCAGGCCGGACTGACTCCTGTTTGAAGTCCATCCTGGGTTCCCATTTCCCTCAAACACAGATGTTTGGCCAGAAACTACAGAGAGGGACCTCTGAGTGTTTATGTTTGGCAGAAGACAATCTTTGGCCACAGCTTCAGTTGCAGCAGGCTGGTTCATGTCAGAGTTAACCATTTCTTCTGAGGTCATTGATTTTACAGATTTTTGTCTAGAAGAGGTACCCCTGGATTCATTCAAACCATCCCTTTGTTTCTGCTCTGTGGCTTCAGTCAAATCATTGCTTCTGTTTTGACTTCGCACACTGTTTCTAGAACTCCCTCTGTTTCTGCTGAGATCTGATCTCCCTCCTGAGACAGGTGTCCTGTTCCGGCTTTTCGACTCTTTCCTTCTCATGTCAGAGGTCCGTCCGGACCTTGGTGTCCTTTCCATACAGCTTGACTTCCTCTGATTTGTATCAGAGACAATGGATACTGGATTATCATTATCAAATACTTCATCATCAGGATCAGACTCTTTCCTTGAGCTCTTAACTGTATTCGACCTTGACCTTTCCTCTGACCTTTTCTTTTTAGAGTCGTCTTTATTTGACCTTTCACTTGTCCTTGACCTTCCAGTTGTCCTTGCACTCTGTACAGATCCTTCTTCCTCTGCTCTGGAACCTTGCAAGGTACCTCCTGCTGAGGGTGTTGAAGTTCTAGCTGATCTGGTTTTGCTGGATTTAGATTTAGTTTTTGTGACAGTTGTTTCAGTGGACTCACGAGAAGGATCTGTAGTAAGTGTGGGCTGTGAAAGGTTTGTCATCTGAGAAGGGTTTATATCATCTGTTGGGTCAGTGGATTCAAGACTCTTGTTTTCTGTCGGAGGGTGAGGAGTGAGCTCAAGCTCCATGGTCAGCTCTCGGCTGTCCATCATCGCCCTAGCCTCCTCCTCCGGCTTCTCTGTGATTGGTTCCCACTCAGACTCAAACATCTCATCATCATACCCTCTGTCTGAATATGCTGAAACAGTATGGCTGGCTAAACAGGAAGCAGAGGAAAGACAAGCAACACACAACAAAGGCTAGCTGAACACATGACAGATATGTAGGATACACATATATACAAACGATAAATGTCTGTGAAAATGTCCACCAGATCTTAAAACTGAATATTGTCTCCCACCAAAATGATTTACACAAGTTTTGATTAGCCAAATGCCATATATAGTGAAGATTTGAAAGTCATGCTTCCCTCTTATCAATAAAGTCACCACTATGAGACCTTTTGTATAACCCGGTTTATTGAAAAGAAAAATTTTAATAAAAAATGTTAAAAAAGGTTTTGCTTGAAACAACTTTATAACGATATGCTGATTTACTTCCCTCTACATAATTTGATATGTTTGTCAAAACAAGTACTGAAGTGATCTGGTAAAAAAATAATATCTGATTCCAAATTTGTAATGAATAAAAAAGTACTTTTTGAATGTCCATGCATACCCTACAGAAAACAGCAGACAACATGACAATGGTGATAATTACTACTCTTGGATTACAAGAAGCACTGCCCATTTACATACCTAAAAATAGTCTCACCGGATCTTCATAATAATTTTGAAATCCAACCTAACCTACCCATCAAAAAATAATTCAAACTAAGCTCTTTTCACACCAGCCAGGTAATAATTAATAAGCCAGTACCACACAGATTACGTATTGCCTACACCGTATTCCCCGCATCACACACTTGATGGTAAACTAGCCAACACCACTCAGGATACCTGTTTCTACATGTCTGGCAATGAGAGTTGGCGCCGCTGGTGCCAGGGATCGTCCCTGATCACTGCTGGCATAGTTCCATTGATGGATGGATGCAGATGCATCAAGCTCTCTGACAGTTTCTGAATCTTACATAGAATAAACACAACATACCATAATGATCTTATACTCCAGAACTGTAGAAATACACACCACAGTGGAAATTGATTAATGCTTGAAAAGTTACATAATTCTTGAAATATTCTTTATTCATATCATATCTAGCTTCTTTTCTCAAGTATATGTCATAACTTGTATAATTGTACATAACCAATCCATTTGACTGCCTTTTATAATCAGCATTGGTTGCTAGGGATCAGTGTTAACTTAAAATCCCCACAAGGAGTGAGTGAGTGATTATTGTTCATTGCTACATCAGCAATTTTGCCTGTATTTGTAATGTGAAATGGCACAGAGAGAGCAAAGGTATACATGCTGCACTGACATGACAACATCTACTGGAACAGGGCTAAAGGTAGTGAAGTTCATAATAAACCTCTGAGTAATTTAGTACTGCCCATTGCCATGACAACATCTATTGGAACAGGGCTAAAGGAAGTGAAGTTCATACTAAACCTCTGAGTAATTTAGTACTGCCCATTGCCATGACAACGTCTATTGGAACAGGGCTAAAGGTAGTGAAGTTCATACTAAACCTCTGAGTAATTTAGTACTGCCCATTGCCATGACAACATCTATTGGAACAGGGCTAAAGGAAGTGAAGTTCATACTAAACCTCTGAGTAATTTAGTACTGCCCATTGCCATGACAACGTCTATTGGAACAGGGCTAAAACATCTATTGAGTGAAGTTCATACTAAACCTCTGAGTAATTTAGTACTGCCCATTGCCATGACAACGTCTATTGGAACAGGGCTAAAGGCAGTGAAGTTCATACTAAACCTCTGAGTAATTTAGTACTGCCCATTGCCATGACAACGTCTATTGGAACAGGGCTAAAGGAAGTGAAGTTCATACTAAACCTCTGAGTAATTTAGTACTGCCCATTGCCATGACAACATCTATTGGAACAGTGCTTAAGGTAGTGATGTTCATACTGACCCTCTAGTAGTTTAGTACTGCCCATTGCCATGACAACGTCTATTGGAACAGGGCTAAAGGAGGTAAAGTTCATACTAAACCTCTGAGTAATTTGGAACTGCCCATTGTCATGACAACATCTACTGGAACAGTGCTTAAGGTAGTGATGTTCATACTAACCCTTAGTAGTATAGTACTGCACGTTGCCATGACAACATCTATTGGAACAGTGCTTAAGGTAGTGATGTTCATACTGACCCCTTAGTAATATAGTACTGCCCGTTGCCATGAGATCAGCTGCTAAATATATTGATATTGATGCTGACACCAACCTTTGCGAGACGACCTTCTCTCTTCCTTGGCGTCCATGTGGACCCTCCTCCGGGACTCCTTCCATTCCTCTGGTTCGTCCGTGTCTGATGGGATGGACTCCGCAACCTCACCTTCAACACACCGCCATGTGAATCTTATTCCTCTCTGAACAGTCACTCAGATGAGTCACAAATGCTTAACAGGCAGGGAAAGATTACATTGATACAGGTCATAGAGATTCCCCACTTTCAAGAAATCCACTAGCATAAGGAGAGAGGAATAAAGGGCACGAGGGGAGGGAGTTAAGTGAATGAGGGACTTCACACATTTTAGCATTGATTGATAATTCTATTTAATGTGAGAGAATATAGTTTTAAGCCTCTTTTAGCAATATTCCAGCTTTATCATGTGGGGAATTGAACCTGGGTGTTCACATGATAAGCGACCACTTTAACCACTAGACTACACTACTCAAATTTAATTTTGAAAGAAAAAAGTTAGCATGAATTTATCAATATTCCATACAATATAATTAATTGAATCTGGAGTAGGTGAACCTGAGACTGACAAAATGGGAAGCAATCGTCTCCACTGGGGTATACGGACAGGCAATCAGCCAGGTCACACAGTCAAACCACTGCTACATTTAGGTCTCCCATAAAAATGAGCTCTTTAACATTTATAAAGCTATCTGGACTAAGAATCCCCACAGAATTCATTGAAAGTAGAATGAACTGACAAATATTGTCTCTGTTTCCAACATCGACAGATAAAGTTGACACCTACCATCGCCCACTCTCTTGTTGACACGCATGACATCTTGTAGTTGTGCCACGTCACCATGTTTAGACGGTCCAACAGATCCACCAACGTTGATGATCTCACCGTCAGGGGCGCAGATGATGCTGCCCTTCAAGGAGCCGTCACCAATGACGCTGCCGGCTGTACAACATATACAGATTATTCAGTATGTTCAACGTTTAAAAACCAAGTGAAGAGTCTTATATACTTAAATTTCAAAACTATTCATGTTATTCTTGACATGTCCAAAGTGTAAATCTAAATTGAAATGTCCTATCTATCAAGTTTCAAAGGGATGCCCTTGTCATTTCATTGTATATATAAACTTTAGGCCAGGCCAATTTTATTTCTTGTTTTACGGATTTTTGTCCTCAGAAAACCTGAAGTCAGGAGGGAAAAAAAAAAAATAAAATCACCAGTCAAAGTAATATTCCTTCTAAATACTCAAAGCATGTTACTTTTGGCAATTTATGAAGTGTATATGGGGCAAAAAACAATCTAAACACAAAATTTCTTGTATGTTTACATTTTTGGCCAATATAAACATTAGGATTATATTTTTTGAGCGGGGACATTTTATTTATTTTTATTTGTTCTTATTCTTGAAAAAATATGACAGGTGGATCCGTAAAACAAGAAATAAAATTGGTCTGGCCTTATTTCAAATAAATGTTTTATTCATACAATTAGAACCTATATTACAAAATCTTCTAGCATGTAAAATCAAAACTGGAAACTATGTTCTACACAATTACATCATCTCTAGATATGACTTCTACAACAATCAGCAATTTTACACAACACCAGCGAGATGGCCATGTCTAGTACTGAGCCACAGAATGATATCATGCATAACAAGCACTGATCACACTAATGTACAAAAACTTGTAAAAGGGCAGACTACAACCATAAAACTATAGTAAAAGTAGGTTGCACTGGTGCATGAGCGAGTCATTTTGGTTTTATGCCACTTAGTATTTGATCTCAGTAACTGGCATGTCAGCTTATTGAGGAACAACAGCCCAAAGTGATGCAGTATGTACACTTTTACAATACTAATCATGGACAGTGCCGATCTGAAAGAATCCTATAGGGGCTAACATGGGATCTGAACCTACAGTCAGCAGTTGATCACTGTCACCTGTGGCCTAACTGTTGATGAATTTACTAACATGATATAGGTACTGTTCTACAGTCATCCCTCGCAATAACGGTGGGGTAATCCTATTTATGTAGTTAACCAATAAGTGATGGTCATCAATTGAACAATTTGTTGCTGTTTCTAATATCTGATTGTTGACATTTATACTATGTTTCAATATGTGAAAATTTCAACAGCAACAATGATATTGTAACATAAATGCAACAGTGATATTGTAACATACTGCAACAGTGATATTGTAACATACTGCAGCTAATACCTGATGGTTCACAGCAACAGTGTTTCAATGCTGCTAACATGATGATCATCATACATTATCTTGTATTCCATGAATGTTAACTTTTCCAATGCCCGGCTTATCCATTACCTCACAAGAAGTAACATAAATGTTAACATTTCCATGTACCACACTTACATAATATTTTCCTGAGAGCTTACAAGGAGTAACATTTTCCATGTACTTCAAGGAGTAACATTTTCCATGTACCCTGCTTACAAGGAGTAACATTTTCCATGTACCCTGCTGGGAATGCCGAACTCATTTGGTACTTCGTAGTAGTAATTCTTTATCTCGAAAAACATTTCGTATGATGTACGGAAATTACCGATATTTTGCGAATGCAAATCGATGGAAGGGAGATGACTCTAAATTTGTTTTTCTTGTCGTCTGGTACTCCATACTGTGATCCGATACCCGTGCTTCAAACAGTTCAAAATTACCATTGAGGTGTTCGGTAAGATAAATACGCTGTTCACTGGTCCCTCAGGGCCCATGGGTTGATGTACCCTCGATGTTTCTTTTCTTCGGGCTCAGAGAACATAAACAAACATCAAGGGTACATCAGCCCATGTCCCCCTCGAGACCAGTGAACAACTTATAATATAACTTAACAAAGGATGTTTCATTTTGATACTAAGTTAATTTGGAGCTAAAAGTATGATCAAGATTATACTGTGTTATACTGTAGGTACTAAATAAGTATTTTGTACACTAATAACAATCTACATTATTTTCACTATCTAAACACTACAAAAGGCTCTATGTTAGACTATTCATATATGGACATCAGGAAATTTGAAAATAAGCACAAACAGCAGGGAAATACTTAATACAGAAGGTAGGAAATAATAATGCTAAAACTGGCACAGCTGTGCAATGACAGTCGATTTAATACATAGGGGGGTGGGGGTGCGCACCCCTCCCTTTTGTCCTGAAGTTTATTAAATGACCATTGAAACTCTCGTGAAAATAAAGTGTGCACCCCTCCTTTCTCAATAGTGTTCACCCCCTTTTCTCAAAAGCTGTATCCGGCCCTGTAATAGCCCCGCTATGCTGCCAACAGGTGCTTGCATAAGAACCAGTAACACATGTAAAGAGGTATTGATGTGGCAGTGTGCCCCAAAATAGTTTCTCTACCTACATTTCTGACTCATGCAAGTCATCGAAGAGATGAGTTTTGAGTTCTTATTTACAAGGTTCAAATTCTTAAAGGTCTTTATCAAGAGCATAGATGTTTGTTTAGTCCAAACATGTTACCTGTCAACTTGTTGTCAAGTAGTGCGGGAGCGATTAATCGTAGGATCGGTTAATCGTTTGATCTAAGTCGAAATGAACAATTGTCGATTACAAATAAACTGCAGATCGATAATCTGAAATAATCATTATTTGGATGCACATACATTAAAACGTTATATTCTACCTTGTCGTGTTATTTTTTACCAAACACTCTGGTCGTCATTGCTTGTTTACTTCTAAACGGAAGCTGTGTACTATACAAGTGCGCATGCCTCCCCTGTCAGCCAATGGCAATGCTAGATATATTTAGATTGGGGTGTCCCTTTCCCCAAAATGTCACGTCTTCATTGAAATACTACGAGTTGACAGGTGCTAAAACAACCTAGATGTTTGTTCGCTAACATAGGTATTTGACTATGAAATGTCCAAACGATTATAATCGATCGATTATCGATCTGACACTAGCGATTATCGATCTGACAAAATGTAACGATAACCAGCTCTACTGTCAAGTCTTTCTTGCATAAAAACTACTTTAGTATATTATCCATATAAACAGATGAAGTTTTAACATGTACAGAATTGCATACATGCATGTATGAAGGCCAAATATGGATGAGTCAGTGTATTGAAACCCATATCCCGGGGGCCACAGTTCTGTGGTTCAGCTTAATGTAGGAAGTGACACATGTCAAAGATATTGGTCAGTTTGTTAAAAACAACAAGTACAGTTTCACAAACTAAATCATAATCAGGGGAAATTGATATTTCAAATCAGATTATTATCTGTCATGACATTTCAGTTCTGAAAACCATTTAAAAACACTAACTGACAACCTGACATAGATACAAATACAGAGTTGGTAAGCTAGCCCTTCATGGCCAGATTTGGTGTGAATGAGTGAGTGAGTGAGTTTAGTTTTACGCCACACTCAGCAATATTCCAGCTATATGGCAGCGGTCTGTAAATAATCGAGTCTGTACCAGACAATCCAGTGATCAACAGCATGAACATCGATCTACGCAATTGGGAATCGATGACGTGTCAACCAAGTCAGAGAGCCTGACCATCCAATCCCGTTAGTCGCCTCTTACGACAAGCATGGGTTACTGAAGACCAATTCTAACCCGGACCTTCACGGGTCGTCTCACAAAATGATTTCTTTTAGAAGATGAGATAAGGTGAAATGGGCTTTAATGTCAGGTTTAAGATAATTCCAACTACTACAACAAGAACGTTATTGTGGTAAGTCACGGTTGAGATTCAAACCACTAACCAGCTGCACTCGAGGCACTTCGCTCTACCCAGCATATCACAGATATAACTGTCCATTGTAGAAAAAAATGAGGTATTCTGAAGCATTGCAGACAAATCCATAAAGCCTGACCTTGCTTCCAGATCAAAATGAACATAAAATTCGAGATAACAGTAACTCTAGTCAGCAATTACAAAAGCATGAACAAAAATCAATACTACAAAATAAGCATTGACTATTGACGATACAAGGGTTAATCACATGCAGTGGCAGGGGGACTACAGGTAGAACCTGGGTTAGAGAGGGTAGGCTTGGGGGTGGAACAGTTGGACTACAATGGTTATGTCTAGGATCAATAGATTGTCCTCACTCTCAGATCGATCTGGTGAACTCGTGCTGGAATGCTTGTCAAAGTCAACACCTGGATCAACCAATAATGTATATCTTTATGACTGTTGGATACTGTTTGGTTACTTAATGCCACAGAAAACAATACTCCAGGTACATGACATTGGCCTGAAGTGCTGAAGTCTGGACCAGATCATCCAGTGATTGCTATTGTGAACAACTACCCAGGTAATCAGGGCACAAGTCCACCAAGAAACCATGCCTGACCACCTGAACCAAAGTTTCCTCTTACAATCTATGTTGGCAGCTGAGGAGCTATATTCTTATACTGTATCCCCACAGGGTCTTCATGTTACCAAAGCAGGGTGCCGTTGTACAAAACAACCTTATCCCATGTGCTTTGTTGTGGGGCAGGACTGAGAGACCTTAAGACTACCTTAAGTCTGAGCTCTGTGCACAGGACCACGCAGCGCCACCACAGTATATGTTAAAAACAACCCATGTGGAGTTACGGTCATCTTAGTGCTAAGATCGCTTTGTACAACGGCACCCAGATCATTAAAAGCATGAAACCTTATTCTATGTCAGCTTTTGTTTAAATCAGATAAACTTGTGGTCCCTAAAACATAAAGGTTGTTTTCAGACTAGAATCAATTCAAACATCATTTCATATTCCTTACTGATTTTTTAACAGCATGTTACAACAACAACAACACCAAAATATTCATTATTCCTTTACTTCTAAAATAAAGATTTTACTTTGACGTGCCTCAACAACAACATTCAACAACAACAACAACAAAAATTACTTGAAAACAAAAAAAATCAGAGATGAAATTTAAGGTTTTATTTTTGATACTTTATTTCTAAAATAAAGATCTTTGACTTTGACGTGCCTCACTGACAATGTCTACATTCAAGGATTATATTACCATGCAGTATCTGTAATATTATCATAATACACCACACTACAATCAAAAATGTATAAGAGATGAAATAATCTTTCTTTCATATACTTTCTTTCATATTTTGTCTTCTTTAGGTTTGTTACTATGCTCATTGTTTAATGCTTCACTCAGCAAATGATTGACCAGACCAGTGATTGGATTGGATTGAACAAAATGTTCAGTTTCAGTTTATTTTATTCAGCACTGAAAGAGATGGGGCACAAGTTATTCAACTTATTAAAGCCTGCTCCTGACAATCACATGGAGAAAAACCCATGAAAGCTTCAGTGAGAATACAAAGTCTACTCACGTCCCTTCTTGGAGCCAACACTCTTCAGGCTCTGATGGCTCCCCTTCCAGTGGGGCCTCTGTTTGCTGGGAATGGACTGGATTCCGCTGTGGGCGATGCTCTCGCTGCTGCTGTGGAGGTTGGATCCCCTGCTGCCATCGGACCTGCAGGTGGGGATGATAATAGTAGTGAGTGGTAGGTGATAATGATGATAATGAAAGTGGGTTTAATATACAATATTTCTAGGCATATGATCTGGCGTGCATGCGTGTGGTATGTGTAATGATGATATTGTACTGTAACAGACTGAAGCTGGTTTTATAGTGCTAGCCCACTGAACACCATGCCGCAGTGAAGCATGAATACCCCCACTTAGACACATTATACCTGACTCGAGCCGACCAGTCCTTGTTGTACCCATTAATGCCGACCCAGGCAGGGACCATGTACCATATTTTACATTTTGGTATGACCATCTGGGCATGGAACCCACAGACCTTCCGCTTATACTCTAACCACTACACCCGCGGAGACTTGTTCGTAGTGATAATAATGATTCCATATAGGTATAGGACTGTTGGCAAGTGACAATGTCAATATTGATGATTATGATTATGATGAATGAATGAATGAATGAGTGAATAATTGAATGAATGAATGAATGAATGAGAACATCCTGCAAATGGTGATGGGAGTCAACTAACCTCTCTCTGAACTGGACTGTGATGCCTTCTTGTGTTTCTTCCGTCTATCAGACCCTCTCCATTGTTCATCTTCTAATAACAAACATTAATTAGTTATCATTTTCAAAACATGTCAAGAAAAAAGTTTTAAAAAGTTAAAAAGTAATATTACACCCATTCTTGAATTACTAAAAAGTGTTTTTCTTTATCTCATATTCGTTGAACATGGACATATAAAAAAACGTATCCAATTAACCAATTAAAAGTCTGTCTCTGCTTCTAGGTGAAATTGTAGTAAGTGAGTGACAGGCACATGTACATGTCTATATATTGATAAGACATTAAAGCCAGCTCGTATAACTCTTTTTTTTCTTCACACAATTAAAATATATTCAAAAGGGCTGATTAAAAAGGGGAGACAACCCTGCAAAATATTGCAGTTCCAGAACATGGGTTATTGCCTAGTTTCAGTTGTCCACATTGATATTTCAAGATTAAATACTGCTACTACCATCCTTTGATGGTTTCGGAGGAACAGGTCGACCATCCGTCTCCGTTGTATTCATCAACGTGGAGTGTTGTGGCGTTGGAGGCTCAACATTAACCATCGGAACACCATCTATCAAGACATGAATCATGCCACAAATCAAATGTTAGTGTGCAATCACTCCAATCAGATTTAGTGTGAATTCAGTGAACAAACTTCATGTGTGATATGATCTGTGCAACATACATAAATCATAGTTATTTCACAGCAAGGATTAGGTCAAAACAAGGTGCAATCACACTGATGTTATGATGGTTGTCACAGAAAACATTTGAAAATTCAGGTGCATACAAATGTTATATCTGTGACTTTTGAGTACTTTCAGGAGATCCAGTGATTTAGAGCACACTATGAGAGTGAGGCACCTAATAACTAGCCAAAAAGTGATCTAACTCACTTAGCAACAGATACTTCCACAAAAATGGAAGAGAAACACATAGTAGTGTAAACAACAAACTTTCTGTCCCCTAATGTGTGTAAATTGACATGAGTCCCCAAAACAAAAGCTAAGAATACACACTGCCTAATTCAGAAAGTGAGGAGTGTGAGTGAGTGAGTTGGGTTTTACGCCGCTTTTAGCAATATTCCAGCAATATCATGGCGGGGGACACCAGAAATGGGCTTCACACATTGTGCCCATGTGGGGAATCGAACCCGGGTCTTCGGTGTGACAAGCGAACGCTTTAACCACTAGGCTACCCCACCGCCCCAATTCAGAAAGTGATGAAATGTTCCACTAGTGATAACACTTTCTTTGTTAAGTGCAAGTGGGCTTGAGTCTCATTCTGGGATTGAATTCCACACCAAATTGACAGCACACACAAAGGGATAGAGAAAGTGAATTTTCTTCAGTGTGATATTGGAACATTTTGTGTCAATCGTTTGTTTTAAAATGAAAATAAAGCATTGAACAATAAAAATTAGTATCACAGAAACGTATGTAAACAGAACAAATTCTTTTCATATTGCAAGAGTTTAAAGTGAAAAAAATGTTTCAGTTTGAGCATGTGCAGTGTGGAAGTCAGTAGTATGTCAGACAAGGGAGAGCACTCTAATCCAGTATGCTATATCTGTCATATCACGCACCTTGTCCAAATATGGGTGGCAGTGTGATATTCTGGTAGGTTGTTTCTCTGCTGACATCCTTTATGGGGGTAAGTGGATGTCTGGAGATAGCAGGAAGCTGGGGGATACTTGTCACCGAACCGGAGGGGGAGGAACTACTTTCTCGTAGTGATACGACAGGTGCAATGCCAATGTACTCCTTTCCTGCTTCGTCAATTCCATATGGCCAACTTCGATTCTGGGCTGGAAATGTATCACATACAGAACTGTTGATATATTGCAAATTCACACTGACCTTATTCTGCTAGTAAACAAAAATGTTATAGGGTGCTGAGTTCTAACATTTCTGAAAAGTTGTCATACATAATACACCATCATACTTTTATGCATGTTTTGTCACTGAAAAGTAAAAGAGATCTAGGCTAATTTATTTGTGCACTTCTGTCAAATATTATAAAGTCAATCTCACATTATTTACACAGTGTTGCACAATATTCCAGATAACTATCTAGAAGTACAAACCAATTGAAGAATTTTATTAGGTTGACAAAAAAGAAAAAAATAACTTTTATCTAAATGTTCAGAAAATATTTCATTACCAGAATGTCCTTTAACGGCATGGGATGGAATATTGGATCCCTTGAAAGAGCCACCATAGTCGGAGCTGTGAGACTGGTTGTCGATTGCCGGAAAGTCAACATCAAGTTGCTGCTGTCGATGGGAATCTAACAGGGACTGCAAGATACGAAAATACAAGGTACAAGTCAATGTGTGTCAAGACAAAACAACGATCAAATAAAACGACTGAGTTTCTGGAGAAATTGAAGAATATTGTTTTACACTGCCTTTAACAGTATCGAAACCATCTTAGGGACACAGATTGGGCTTCTCACATTAGAAGATTGTAAGGTTTATTTACAAATCACACAATTCCATAAACGATGCTTTGAGTCAGTCTTCAAAGTTAACTAGCTGTGCCATGGCAGCTAGCACAGCTGATGCTACACCACTAAACCATGGGAATTAAACTCAGATTTGGTACTGGATATACCTGATACCTACTGGACACAGTCAGTATTTGTTCCATTAAGTACTGAGAGACCAGTAACATTTGGTAATGACTGATAATGTCTGGTTTGATGCCATTGTATGTCATCAAGCCTTGGCATTAAATGTTGCAACCTTACATTATATCATTCTTTTAATGGGACAAATTTCAAAAGTATTATCTAAACTTTTTTGTTGGAATTTTCTCTAATTATCTCCTGATAAGGCAAATTTTGTTAAAAACTCAGTTTATCGGTCTCTTTTCTTACAATATGTTAAATTTAATTAAAAAGATAAATGAGAGCAGTGTTTTTTTTATTCCACTGATGATAAAGGGCAAAAGGCAAACAATGTCAATTGTATTCCATAATCCTAAGATTTAAACCTGTTAAAAATATATCACAGCAAAAAACAGCAAATTATCATGACACCCATATTTTTGGCCTCGTTTGTTTCCTACTTACAAACCTGAATTTTGAAAACAAAAAATGCAAACTCATCAAGCAAAAACATATGGCCTAATTGCTAATCACCATCAAATCTGTAAGAATCGCACTGTCGACAACAACCGGGGGCATTAATCCTGAACCAAGACGTCGAAGCTTTGGAGGGTCCAGTATTGAAGGCACAAGTCGATGATGTCGAGAGTTCCGAAGTTTTTTACAATAAGAACCTTCAAATATTGTAGGCAGTTTCAAAGATTGTACTGGCTCAAAGGAACTTTTCAACATAAAGGACATCCACAACTTTGACTCCTTGTCACCAGCGCTGTAAGAAGTGCTAATATGGTCAAATTTAGACGTCATTTTTCTTGTCTTGAGACACATTGGTGGTAGATATTGAGGAACTCTCTGTGTGAATATTCCTTGTTTCTTCTTCTTCCTTCCAGTGTTGTGTGGTTTTAGAACAGGGTATCCCGCCTTCAGAGTCAACATCTTGGACTAGATTCACTCCCGGTAAGTTCACAACTTAACCTTTATTTCATCTGAGAAAAGACAACCTAAAATATACACATGTCAACCCAGCTGTTAGTATTCCTTTCAAATGACAATTTCGGATATCAAATTTCACTATTACCATATTTTGTGAGGGTTATTTTTGAAAACATCAACCTGAGCTTGTAAAGTTACAAATCCAAAATGAATGGACTCTCAAGATCCATCAATTTCACAGCACAAGTGAACACAACCTATGTGCTATTTCTAAGTTTCTGTTCTAAGTTTCTGTAAGACAGAACACCTGACCAAACAACTGTGTAATCATTGCATCATCAGATCCCACTGAACATTATAATCCAGAGATAAAACACACATCAGAAACAAGATTAAATCATGGGAGAAGTTGTAGGTAAAGCCAATCGATCCAAACTGTGACTTAACATTGCCTGAAATCCGACAGCTGTCCATGTAGTATTCACCTAACAACTACCTACATCTATACATATCTAAAGCGGAAAATCATCCCACAATGCCTTCAGAAAACTCAACAAAAGCTACAGTAACAATCAAACCATTGAGATCTAAAGAAATACTGTAGACCATACAACTGGTAATACCTCCCTGAAACCATCAGCTTAAATTACAGCATATTGCTTTTATTACTTCGTCTGAATGGAGAAATATATTCAAATACATGCAGTGTTTGTGCCAATTATAAGCTCGAATAGAATGAAAAATGGCAGTAGTATCCACGGGTTATTCAGGGTACATCAAGAATATTAACTCGTTACATACACGACTGAGTTGGCTCTCAGATAAATGTATACACCTATTAACTGTCTTGTTTGAACTGTTAAGGCACTCGTATATACCTAAACACTACTCTGCAGAAGCTAATGCTATAGTTAATAGTACAATAAACAATAAACAAACCAAATCTATGTACAGTTGTTGTATCAAACTTGATAGACAACAGTATACATATTAATGTGTATTTTGAAAGCGAGTTATATTATACAGCAATGCTCATGAATATTGGGGCGAGGCGTATTTATATGGGTATTGTTTATTGGTTGAAAGTGTTACAATAAACAATAAAAGAACCAAGGTTATCTATGTACAAAGTTGTTTTTCCAGGTCTTGATAGACAATACGTTGCTGTTGAATAATTATCTGGAGCCCTGGAATTGGTTTGCAAAAAGATATTTGTTTGTTGTTATAAATGTTATATCATTGTCTCATGACATACATCTAGAAACATACATCTTTATGTGAAATCAAATGGGGTTCAATACTAAATCTCTTATATTTCTATAAAGTTTCAAATTGTGGTGATAAACTGGAAATAAAGAAGTCCTCATATGTATTATGAACCAAATTGTATTTTCTCTTACAGTCCACAGATTCATATAATAAAGCCTAATGAAACAAGAAAAGGATATTAAAGTAAACATCTTATCAGCAATGTTTGGTTTAATAACCAATGTTGTAAACTATGAATACTGTTACTGATGGTCAAAATGAAAAGAGTTAAAACTTTACTTTAAAACAACATGCACTGTTCATATTTCAAATAATATGTAAAAAGTATGGCATGTACCTAACAGAAGAAGTTAAGATACATAATTGAAATAACTGCTCTTAACTGTATAATATTGGTTTTTTCCAACATAAAAAGTTTGGTTTTTTTGCCAATTGTTTTTAAACTTATAGAATTGGGAGTGAATCCATTCTTATTGCAAACATGTTATTGCAGGAATTTAAGGCCAAGTACCCTCATAATATCAACAGACATTTTAAAAACTATCTTGAAGTATCATATATGATGTGTCGAATATTGAGGACCAAAAATGGTATTGTTAAGAACAGGGTTGGCCTACGTAAAGGAAACACTTTAATCAAACTTATTTTTTCTGGAGATGAATAAATGACATCGAATCAATTCATGTGAATGAACAAGAACATAAGACTTGTCTGTAGAGATGTGAAATGTGCAATAAAACAAAACTAGACGTGGTGATTTATCTTTTTTGGACTAGGCAATACATTTTATGGGCTAGGCAATACATTTTAGGTAGGGATTAAGATTACTGTGTGTACTTGTCTCAGGAAACTGTGGACACTTTTGTCCTCATCTACTGGTACATTTCATTTCATCAACCACCTGTTTCATGACCATATTCTTAAACTGACTATTAGAACCTATGGAGATGAGAAAATATGCTGTATGTGTTCCCTTCATTTTCTTTTTCAGTCACCATAGTCAAAATCTTATAAAAATAGATAGTAAATGTACAGATGCATTGATTAGTTTGTGTTTCCAAAATAAACCTAACAATAAGAATGTTTATATGTTGTTCTTTAATTAATAGTGGCATGAAAATCAAATTTCAAATTAATTTTTTCACCTCATGCACCTTACATGCCAGACTTTGTGTTTCTTTAAAACAAATAAAGAATTTATCATTAATCCTCTCAGAAACAAATAAAAGCATTGTTTCACCTTGTGCACCTTTGCTTTTGATAATGCCAGGAATTTTTAAAACAAATATTAAATCAATCTTATCATTATTACTTTTCAAGAGCAGGTGACCTGTTAAGATTAACTGTGGCCATAAATTCAACTAAATTGCACTTAAAAGAACAGTGATCCATGTGAACACATTAATGAGATTAAACGTGCCAAAAATATTCAACGTGTCATAAAACACCAGCTTGACACATCTGAGCTTGCTCATAGACCATACACGGGTATATACACTCTGACACGACAGACTAAAAAACAATTGATATCGGGTAGGTGTGAACACAATTAATGTTTGTTTGACAAGTACAAAATGCTTATCATCATATGCTTAAAAAATTTAACATTTTTTCAAAGATCTGTAGACACCTTAGTTATTATCATGTCAGATCTACTTTATGCAAGCAATTAGCTGAGCTTGCTCATAGCACGTTGCACAGCAGATTAGGAAAGTGACAGTTTGAATGCTTTTTCTGATCATGAACACAGAGTTAACACACGATACCCCTGACTATAAGACTGTCAGAATCGTTGTCTATCTCAGTGGAAAAAACTTTGCATTGCCCACTGAAAATATTGTCATACTATCTTTGGCCATCCATTACACAAAGAGTGTACACAGCTATTTATTTTTACAGAGAGACTGACTGAGTTTGGTTATAGGCGGCTTTTAGCATTAATAAGTGGAACTAAAACAACTGACATAAATTCTTGATTTGAACCACAGCAACATTGACATATTTTCAGCATTTAACTGCACTTGTTTTAACTTAGCTGTTTGTTTGTTGATTAACCATAGCACATATTGCCAAATTTCTATCGATATGTTTGTTTGTTGTTTAATAGCACACTTGCCAGTTGGCAGTAGGGTGATAGTGGGTTTAACATCATGCGTGAGAATATTTACGCTCAAATGGCTAGCACCAGACTAAACTTAAGCTGGTTTTATAGTGCTAGCCCACTGAGATACCATGCCGCAGTGAAGCATGAATACCCCACTCAGACACATTATACTGACTCCGAGCCGACCAGTCCTTGTTGTACCCATTAAAGCCGAGCGCCAGGCAGGGACCAACAAGTACCAGATTTTAACGTCTTTTGGTATGACGCGGTCGGGGATCGAACCCGTGACCTTCCGCTCTCCGGGCGAACGCTCTAACCACTACACCACAGTTGGCAGTCTGTAAATAATACCGTCTAGACCAGAAAGACATGACTATTGATCT